TCGTTTGTCCAGGTGGAGTCATAGGTAACGGATTTGTTCAACTGGTATAAGTGGGGTATTGCTAAAGGATACCATGGGAGGTTATAGGTTTGCGACGCAGGGTAAAGGTAATTTGATAGGATTTACCGGAATTTATTTTAATTCTTCAGTTTTTACACCATTCTTCAAGGTTTGTGATATGTGATTGGAGAGTTTGGGATGCAGTTGTTGGTTCATTATTAAGATATAGGATACATGTGTAATCAACATACGTGATAATGACAGTGTCAGGATGGGTTGGGATGTCAGTTTAAAATTAAAATTAAAACAGAAACTGAGCATTTACATTTATCTACTAAAGCCTATATGAACCTACGCTTCTCAAATATACGGGATAGCCAAAACAACATACGGAAACTACAAACCTTTCAGTCAAAAACTTTTAGGACTATAACTTAAGTCGGTAAGTCTCAAACATTACTTTATATTAAGATCCAAACATGACAACAGTTAACGACTACATACGGACACACTAGTAGACATGGTCTCGATTAACGTGCCCTAAAACAAGCTTCAACAAAGGAACCTGGATGAGGGATTTTCTTACCTAAAAATATACTGAATTCAAGTCAAGAAGGAATACCGCTAGGCACTCCTTTCCCTCACGCCGATCAAGCCACCATCAGTATTTTCTCTACAGCAGACTCACTAATTTTTAGTACTTCTAACTGGTGTGGGCACAGGCGGATCTACGGGGAGGGCTTTCGGGCTGAAGCCCCCCATAAAATGGTAAAATATAACCATGTTTTACAGAAAAAAATATTAAAAACTATCTCTTCAAGTATTCTTGTTCGTGTAATTACATTTAATAGGACTTCAAGGACCACTTAAACATCATTTCATATAGATACTTGATTTCTCTCTTTTTTTTTTCCTAATTAATTATCGTTATATGTATATGAAAAATAATCTTTCGGGTAGGAGCCTTCCCCAAAAAAATCAAATCCTGAATCCGCTAGCGGGTGTGGGTAAAAAACAAAGTTGCAAGTTTCAATAATAGGTGCCTTTACACTACAACAAAATAGTCTTAGAAAACTATTTCTGGCGAATTATAAATTTTACCAGGTTAAAAAATAATTAATAAACATAAATATTTATAATATTACAAAATTCGTAACAGCTTTAATGATGGCTGCCTTGACGTATTACCTTAGAAGATGATTATAACAGTAATTAATACATGATTGAACAATGGCGGCTGCTTTGTCAATAATGACGGACTGTGATGAGGCTATGCTATCATGAGAACAATGCAGACAAGACAATGAGAGGGCGTATCCTGCCTTTTAGGATCCTCCATAAACTGAATAATTTTTAAGGACCTCTTCACCCCTTCCTTTCTGACTTTTTTATAATGGTCCAAGTGTTTTCATATCCTTATCGGCCTATATAACCGAGGGCAAGTAAATCCTGTAATATTCTTCGAAACTAAACGAGGATTGTGTTTAGTTTGTTTTTTATTTTTTAATGATATGGTGGAATGATCCCCGCCTTTAGATTTATGAAATATCATTTTAGTAAAAATCAGAGAAGTTTTAATTTTATGAAGTACTTTAACACGAAGACTATTTTTAGCAGCTTTTATGATTAAGTCACTGACGTCAACAGGAAAATGCACGCTCTCAATGATGCTTGAAATTAATTTTTGATTGAAAAGCATTGTTTCAGCGTTCCTTTAAATATGGTATTACTTGTAAGCTTTATTTATATAGAGCTGTTTTCAAGTTTTCATTATTCGAGGTAATGTTAGAATTTATACTGAATAGTAAAAAAATAAATATAAATTATTTTTCAGTTAATTAGATGAAAAAAATATTTAGTATTCGAAAACAGAATACCATTGTCATACTAAGTGGTTTCACAACAGTCCTCGAGAAAGAAAATATTAACATCTAATTACTGTTCATAAAATTTGACTGATATCCTTCATTCCGTCCTTCCAGATTTTCCTGTCCTACCATAACCTGATTCTTCAGAACAATTTTGATCGTTGTGCAGATCGCGGGCGGGTTTACGGGGGCTAGGGTACTTTCAGGCTGAAGTCCCCTCTTCTCCCCCAAAATGATAAAATATAACCATATCTTATGAAAAAAAAATTTAATAATTACTTATGAAAGTATTATTTATGGTGTAATTACATTTAATAGTACTTAAGGAATCACTTAAAACTCTATGTCATATAGGTAGTCAGTTCCTTTCTTTTTCTTGTTAAGTAATTATCGTTATATATTTTTTAAAAAAATCTTTCGGGCTGAACCCTTCCTTAACTAAATTCTGGATCCGCTAGATGTGCAGATCTATTGGTTCATGAAAAGCTTAATTCCAAAATCCTCCTTTGGTTCCCTCCCTTCCGATTCCACACACCACGGATATCTCTTTGTAGAGATCTTCTCCACCTCATTTCCTATACTCTTCCGTGCCATCTATTGCTCCCCAAGATTACCGTTTGATGAATTACATGAGATTACTCCTGACAACTAAATCCCTTCTTATTTTAATTTAATCATCTTTTTCATGGACTTCGTTATCAATCTATTGACGCTTTCCTCTTATCACACTTACCTGAGAAACCTCCTCCAGTCTTACTATGTATTACCGTACAAGCCCATATACATAGGGCGGGGTGACCGAACGGGCTAACGTGTGTGGACAGCACCGGTGTTGCTTGGCAACCTGATATATGAGACAATGGATTTAAAATAGCCACGAGTTCGCGTCTCGGTGCCGGGAGAGTCTTTTAAATCCCTCTCTGGCTCGGGAAAATCCCTTATAGCCTTATTGAGGAAGGGAGAGACCCCCCCAAAAAAGCCCCACATACATCTTGGATTCTTCCAATATTCTCCACGCCTTATCACATTTCTCATTTCAGACATAAATCAAAAACCTTAGTGTCATTTCATTCAATTCATTCTGAAAACAACATATTTTTCAAATTAGAAATTAAGGTCGTTGGCCGGACTTGCATACACATTTTGCTTAATGTCAACCTAAAGTAAAAACGCTGCAAATTATTTCACAATAGTTTATTATCTCCAAACAATTATACATCTAAAGTAACATTACCTTCCGAGTTACAAAGAAAAAAAAAACAGGTGATTCCAATTATTGGACTAAACTGTTTTTCTTTAATCATTAGTAATATGCTAAAAAAAAAAAAAAAAGCATTAGTTCAGTCACACATTTAAAATTTAAAAACCAAACCAAGCATATAACATTTGGAGTAGAACACATAAAAAAAAAACCGGAGACCATATCTTTGCTCCTAATTGTCCGATTTTAACGATTTTTTTTTTTTTGTTTTTTAGGAAATTTCGTGAACTTTTAAAAAAACTATACAATATCAACAAAAAAGTAAAAACTTTTCGAGTTATTCGGAATTTAATTTTACCATCCCTCGTAACTTTTTTTCCATCTTCTTTTCGTTGAAGTATGTTCTATAGATAAATTTAAAGGGCGTCAAGAAAATGACTATAGCGAAGTTTCATTGAAATCTGTACATTCGTTTAGGAGCTACAGTCTATAGCAACGCAGATTTTTCGGCCGCCATTTTGAAAGTTAAAGGCGGAGAGTAATGTCGATGAAGGAGGATCATCCTCGGGTGACCTCTGATTTTATATCAAAATTTGAAAAAAATCGGTCCAGTAGTTTCGGAGAAAAAGCGCGGACGGACAAAAAAATTTTTATTCGTTTTTCGAATTCTACTTGTCTTGAAACGTGAAACCTCAAATTTTGAGAGGGGGTTATGTTTTTGAATTTTTTGGAACACAATGTTTCATTATTGAAAAAATTAAACAAAAATCCAGTGCCATCTGTTATTAAACAAATAGTCAATGACCATAATTCCTTTCGAAGAAGGATAATTGAATCTTGTGAAACAATAACACATAACCAGCGCCGTTCTGCCACTGCTGCTGTTGAAGAAAGATGCCGAGCCTGTCTTAATGCTCAAGGAAATCACTTTGAACAATATTTAATATGAATGTTAATGTTTACATTTAATTAATAAAGTAGTTTGAACAAATAAATAGGTTTTATTTATTTCATATAACGTAAATAATACATAACAATGAAAATCTTTAGGTGTGAATACTTCCTAAACAAAGCGTTTGCGGACATACCTTCAGAGGAAATGTTTTTCATGTTTTGAGGTCCTTAGTTTATTTTTGTAGTTTGGCCACTTAACCCTGAAGCACCTTGTATAATATTTACAATCAGGCAGGAAACACTAACCCATGTTTGTTCTTCCAACTATAGAGGGAAAAGCTGGACTCCAAGAGATCCCGCCGCTACTTTATCAACCGATAACAACAAAGAAAATCGAATATTATGCTAGCATAACTATAGGGTAGTATATTCAGCCATAAAAGGATTTGTATGTGATATGGCAAATACAGGACCTATTCAAGAAATTAAGATGAGTTATAAAGTGTTTTGATTATATTAGATGAGAAGTCTTCCCTACTGTGCATCTTAACAAAATATTGAAAAGTCAATACACACCAAATAAACCAATATGTTACACTGCAAAAATTAATCATCAAATTGTACTTGATTTTCAATCTCATTAAAATCCTGAGGATAATGAAAGCAACACTGAAAAACAACTAATTGGTTAGAAATAATGAGTGATTTTAATAATAGTTTGTCCGAAATAGGTAATGCTATCAATCAATACAAGCATAAATTAATTATGAACAGATAATGATAATATTAATCACAAAAGTTGAAATAACAGAGACTTGGGAGTCAAACTACCAGTTTTGACCTTTAGTTCAGATTTCTATTTTTTTTTTTTACTTTTTTTTTATTTCTTTATATATATATATATATATATATATATATATATATATATATACATATATATATATATATATATATATATATATATATATATATATATATAAATACATGTATGCAGTTTATAAGGCGAATAGTAAATGATTAACGCTTTTCCCTGACAGTGGCAGCAGGAAGAGCAGAGAACGACACAGCCGACAAGGACGACTTCCCCGATCCCCAGCTCTAGTCCTGGGGAGACCACAACCAAGAAGCCGATGGCCAACGGGACGGAAGCACCCGCCGAGAAGTGCACTCCTCCAGCCATCGAACAGTTCCCGAGGCCCATCATCGGCCCCACGGCGAGGAAGCATGGAGCTCTCATCTTCCACCTCATCATATGCATCTACTCCTTCATCGGGCTGGCCATCGTCTGCGATGAGTACTTCGTCACCTCCTTGGACAGGATATGTGAAGGTAAGTCCTCTCTTGCAGTAGTTTTGCGTAATACACATACTGAAATCATAATTATGAAGAAATCAGACAAAATATAACTATTATAAAAAAAAAAATTAAGTACATTTTAATGGGCCTAAGCCCACAAATTTATGAACTATCGATAAAACACAAACCCTATTTATTATATCGATGGTAAGTAATAAAAACCTCATAACTTCATCCGTCTATTCGAACCTCATAACCCTTTGAACCACATAAGTATATAGAACTCAAAACTTAAGTGATTCAAAGAGTTTTACGGTTCAACTAGACTGACGGAGCTATGAGGTTTTTATTACCTACCCTCGATATAATAAATAGGTTTAGTGTTATTTCGAAGGTTCACAAATTTGTGAGTATAGATCAATTAAAAATGCACTTCAAAAACTTGTTGTAATAACTAAATTTTGTCAAATTATCATTTCTGTTCAAAGTAGAGCGGTAAATGAAAGTTGTGTGATGCGCGCACCAGATATTTTAATTTAGTTATTTAATTTGACACTTTAATTTAAAGAATCGCTTCATAGGAGACTACTTAGATTTGTTTTTTTATTTCAAGAAGGGCTATTAAAGGATGTCCCTCTAAACACCAACAAGCAAATACATATAGAATTTTGTTTATGAGGCTGTTTCAAAAGATATATATATATATATTTCTGTTGGCGCTGCAGACCATGAAGATCTTTGCCCGCTAGATGTGGTCTCCTAGACCACATCCCGATTCCCGATTTAAGTACACGGGAGTAGGGTCATCAGTCCTACGCCCGATCGGTGTGAGTTGCCTCCAGTAGACTGACGGTCCTCACATATCCGGGGGGAGATCTCGGGCAGCGTGGCTTTCTGTGGTGGGCGGTCACCCATCCAAGTGCATGCCACGCTCGGCGTTGCCTAACTTGGTTCCCTATTGCAAGCGCCTTAGCCCGCACGGCTGTCCCAGCCTTCTCTCTCTCTCTCTCTCTCTCTCTCTCTATATATATATATATATATATATATATATATATATATATATATATATATATATATATATATATATATATATATATGAAATATTGTTTATTTTTAATAAGTTAATAAAATTTAAACAAATGAAACTTGGATGAGAACACAAGAGTTTTTTTTATTAAAAACCTGTGTGAAATTTAATCCTAGAGTTTGGCTTGTTCACCCCAACTCACTCAATATAATGAAATTATAATCTATAGTCATCAAAATATTTTTAACTATTTAGGTAACGAAAATTTGAATATGGGATTAATATGAATATGCGAAAATATGTGTGTGTATTTAGTGATAAATAAATACAGCAGCGAAATATTAACAAATTGTTGCGGCCTCCATTAACACTGCCGAACCTTAATATTATTTACATAACTATACTTAATAAAAAAAAATCTTGTTCGTACATATTTTGTTAATAGCTGCTCATATTAAAAAATATTGATGTAAAACAACTCATGTTAGCTAACAATCAAAATCCATTATAACATTAATGTTTTGTTTTTTTATACTAAATTATTTAAAGTGTTTGTTTTAATGGCAAATGTAATGTACAATCTGATTCTGGTTTTTAGATAGGTCTAAAACATTTGTAAAATAATAGTTGGGATGAATACTAAACCATTTTAATTTATTGAATTTTACATTCAAAGTACAATTATAGCGACTAGAGCCGCTTGTGTTTTAATTATATTCAATTGGGCACAATTCGTATATTATTAAATTTTATATATATATATATATATATATATATATATATTATAATATATATATATATATATATATATTATAATTTTATAATATATATATAATTTTTTTTTAACATGATGAAATGCATACCAAAAGTTCTGGAAACCAATTTATACAAGAATACAGCATTGAGACTGAGCGTTATAATGGCCATTTTAAGTTGTAGAAATTCGGTATAAGAGTTTTAGAGCACTGCTGGTTAAAAGTTTTAAGTTGAAGAATTGAGAAATGAGTTCATAACTCCTCTTTCGCCAGAAACTTTTCCTAATCGGTTCTTCTCGCCTAATTTGCGTCCGGAATCAATTTTAATAGTTTTCTTAATAAACCTAATTAGAAAAGGGCAATTTCTTGATTTGAAATCGTAGATTGAAATTCTCACCGATATTTATAAACACATAAATATCATTGATCGAATTATAGTCTCAAACAACAATCTCAAAAATATTTTTAAGAGGAAATGTCGTCTATTTGACTATTGAATGTGTCAAATAAATAAATGGCATTTGTTTTATTTATAAGAAAATTAAAATGAAATAAGAAGGTTTGATAAGAAAAAAAATATATTTTTTCTTTTTTCTGGAAAGTTGTATAATATTCATCGGTATTTGGCAATAATTACTTCAAATTAGTAACAATTGAATATATTTCTTGTATTATCAAGGTTACACGTTCACAAGTTTACGTTTCGGGATATTTACTCCCATCTTCAGAACCACAATCCCAATCATCTGGTGGGTGCATTGGTTTTGCATAGATTTTTATAACATGAACTAGAAACTGACGATGGAGCACATTATTTTTAAGGTAATTACAAATTTATTGTAACAACAAAATTCTGACATGTATTGTAACATGCACTATAACTCAAAAAATGTTTAGCCTTGCACCCACAAGATCATTGGGATTGTGGTTCTGAAGGTGGGAGTAAATATCCCGAAACGTAAAATTGTGAACGTGTAACCTTGATAATACAAGAAATATACTCAATTATTACTAATTGGAAGTCATTATTTCCAAATACCTAAGAAAAAAATTGTAAAAACCTACTCTAAAATGATAAAAAGTAAGGATTTTGACTGATCTGGCTTTTGTTAAATAATTTACATAACCTACTCCTCCAGTTCTGAAGCTGACCCCCGACGTCGCCGGAGCCACCTTCATGGCCGCTGGAAGCTCCGCTCCAGAACTGGCCACTGTAGTCATCGGAGTATTCTTCGCTAAAGATGACATCGGGGTGTCGGGAGTGATCGGATCTGCGGTCTTCAACATAATGTTCGTCATTGCCATCTGCGCAGTCTTCGGTGGAACGGTCTCCTACCTCAACTGGTGGCCACTCTGCAGGGACTCGTTCTTCTACCTCGTGTCCATATTGGTCATGCTTTTTGTGATCTATGACGAAACCATCACATGGTAAGTTATTCCAGGCATCATTACGGCTAAGTTTGAATTTCTTTTTATTCATTATACAACTATTATCTTGATCACATGAACATATTGAGGAAATGATTAAATAATAAATTAAAACAAATCCATACTCAACCTCTACGATGTATGCCAATCGTCAAATATGATGGTAACATTGGTTTCTCATCTTAACACGCAAAGTTGGTTAATCACATATTTTCAACAGATATATCTTGGTTAAAGGAACGTGTATATTTTTACAAAAAATAAAATAACTGTAAATCTACTTAGAACTATTAATAATTATATAGTTTTCTATCAAATTATTGAATGTTGTTATTGCAGGGGAGAGAGTATATTCATGCTCGTCATGTACATCATATATTGCATCTGCTTGACGTACAATGCCGCCTTGGAGAAGTGGGCTCAGACTTGGCCGGTTCCTTGTAAAGCCGTCCAACAAGAGAACGAGGACCAGCACTTGGTTTCCTACAAGACACTGGAGGAGAAGGAAGGCTACAGCGCCACTCAGCAGCAGCAGCAGCAACTGGGCCAACCGGTAGCGGTGCCCAACGGTGGTAGTGAACAGCCGCCTCCCGTCCCACCTCCGCCCAAGCCGGAGTACTACAAGGCCAAAGAGCAGACCAACCAGGTAGGTCATAAAATATGATATAAATAGGGGGTGGGAAGGCCGAGCGGGCTAACGTGTGTGTTAAATTCGCGTTGCCAGTTAGACCAAAGTTAATGATAAAATTATTACGAGTTCGCGGCCCGCTGACAGGGAGCTATATTAACTTTGGCATTAAACCCCAGCCCTTTCCACGGCCCAGGAAAAAACCCGTGAGATCTATGTGTAGCTAAACGGTGAGGATGATGTGGTCAAAGAAGAAAAAGAAGTATGATAAAAATAGTTTGAGCAAAACTTTTGATTTCCAACCTATTTACTTATTATCAACTTCAATATACATCCCTCCCCTACCTCCTTACAACGTTCCGTGTGAATCTTCCATTGTCTGAAACAGTGATGGAAGTCTTCTTCTGTTAGTGCTTTCAGGAATCATGTCTCTTTCTCACTCTCTCACTCCCTCTCGCTCTTTCTCCCTCTCACCCTCTCACTCTCTCTCCCTCGCTCCCTCTCTCCCGCTCCACCTCTCTCCCTCTCCTCTCTATCTATCTATCTATCTATCTATCAGCCATCCGCAAGCTCCTTGTATCCTCTCTCATTTTCCCCCACTTTGACTACGGCTGTGTGGTGTACGGAGGCATCCCAATGGTACTCGAGGATAGATTGAAGCGACTCATGAATACGTGCTTAAGATTTGTCTTCGGTACATCAAAGCGATCTCATGTGTCCCACCTTTACGACGAGTTAAAGTGGCTCTTCCCTTCTTTCCGCAGACAATATTTCCTCGGATCTTTCCTATTCCAAACAATCAACACTAGACACCCTTCTTACATCTACAGTCTCCTACAGTTTAAACCCGTGTTCCACTCCCAGAAAACAAGATCCCGTGTTTCCGACCTTTATATCCCTTCCCATAGAACTAAGACGTTTGAATATTCCTTTATTTCCCGATCCACAGCCTTCTGGAATTCCTTGCCATCTGAAATCCGTCATGCCTCTTCCTTGTCCTCATTTAAATATCATCTTTACCAATTCCTTCTCACATCCCAAAATGACGTTATACAATAAAATAAATATTGTGAAATAGATTTTGACTGAGGTGAATGATTGATAAAATTTATTGTCTTAATTTTAAAAATCAACCCATGCTTATTTTATTTTATTTTTATCTTCATTTAAATAATGTTGTTTTTTTTTTATTTCGTTTTTTCTCAAAATTTTATTTTATTTTTACTTGTTTTAATTTAATTTCACTGAAGATACTGTATATATTCTTTAATATTGATTAATGTAATTTTTGGCCAGATGTAGTTTTAATTTTTTTGTTCATATCTGTTATTCATAAGGGACCTTGTCCCAGAATAAAGTTTACTTTCTATCTATCTATCTATCTCTATCTATCTATCTATCTTTCTCTTTGATCGTTTTGAAGATCAAACTATTAACCCTCATTACTACATGCACATTCTTGATGAAAGAGAGTGGGGAAAACGTCCTGAAGGAGCCGACAAAAGAATATTTCCAGCACTATTTCAGACAAAGGAAGATTTGCATGGATATAGAAGGCGTGAATATTGAAGGTGATAATGAGTAAATATGTAGGAAATCAAAATACATTTCTTTACAGCATCAGTCTCGTTATTTAATAGCCAATATTGATATAGTGTTTTGTATTAGACATTTAAGGTTGTGTTGCCATATTTTTTCTATATTGAGCTATTTAAATGGAATGTACTATCTATAATTCGAATTTTTAATTTTCACCAACTTGGCATAAGACGTTTGACCATAAAATTGTGATGAAGCAGGAACGGTCTGCTTCAGAAATGGTCAATTATATTCTAATTGTTCTATAGATCATGGACACCTTTGATCATGGTTCTTGTCCAATTTGTTTCCTCTAAATTGTTCAAATGTATGTCTGTCTTTAAGAAGGTCCAACTGTCATAAATATTTATTTATCAAGCTCTGTGAGCCACTTACGAAACCATAGTTTTTTTGTTTTTTTTAAATATTCATAGGATTTTCCTCCTTTAGGTGATTTTCGAAGGTCAAAACATTATTCATTTTCGCAACAACCAGGTGAAAGATTTGACTATATGTCTTAAATACCGAAAAGTTAATGATATCATGAGTCTTGAAAACATACTCTTTAAATATATTTCAACGGAGTAAACAGTATTTATACAAAAACATTTTTCTGACCATTGTTTTTCATTAAGGTAACTACTATTATTTTTGTATTTTATTTATTTATTAATTATTTTGTTCTATTTACTAATTATATATTTTTTTAAAATTTGCTTGTACATCCACTGTACTTTATAATTTATTATGAATTATTATAATTTGTTCAATCAAATAAAATTTCATTTGATAAATTAATCAGTATTGAAAATGAAGAAAAGTGTATTTTACTTTATGCTAAAAAAAATCTACAAATCATATCCTTCGTTGCAACAGACCACGAGCATCCAACGAGATAGAAATATTACTACTCTCTATTTCAGCCCAGTTGGGTGCCTACGCTCGGCACGGTAACTACACTGAGGTAGGTAATATTTCACTGCTATACAGGGGGCTTATTTTACCCTTATGCATATTCAAACCTAGCCCAAGCTTATGGTCCCAACACACCCCTCACAAGTGCTGCTATCTGGTCGATGGTTTATATATTTTTAGATTCATGTTTTCATTAAACTCGAGAGCGAAACGGGCTCAATGTTTCGAAGAAGGAAATATTGCGACCCTTCACAAGCTAAAAGAAATGGTGGATTTTTTCCCCTGTGTATTTAATATTCTGAAGTATCAATATGGCTCCAATAAAACACGTTTTAATATAAAATACTCAAATATTGTAGAGACTGGAGCATTTGTTTCAACATCCTACAATGTAAACATAGAGATATTTTTCTCTTTTTGACTTTACTATTTTATTAACATGCGTAAACATTACTGTAATGAGTAAAAACTACTTTTAAAAGTGTATACATTTATTTCGCACTGGCATCTTAATATCTCTCCAAACCTTATATGTAAAAGTTTCTAATATTATAAAATAAGGCTCTGTTTATTTTTTCACCATATTTATTTTAATTTTCATAGCTACGTTTCGGTCGGTAAGCCATCTTCAATCCATTTTATCCAACCATGCTTTTTGCATGTAGTCCAAAGTCTAATTGAAAATTAAAATAAATATGGTGAAAAAATAAACAGAGCCTTATTTTATAATGTTAGAAAATTTTCACATAAAACAAGCACATATGGATGTAAACAAATACTATTTTTTAATAAATACAAATTTCAACAAAGTTCTTAAGTAAGTTTGAAATAATTATAACTTCAACGGAAGACGGAAGCAAATTTTTAAAATAGTGAAAATCAAGCAAATTAAAATAACAAACAAAAAGTATTCAACCATACAAGATTGGAACAAAATGAAAATTTTTCATCAAAATATTTAGTGATTATGTTTTTTAATGTTCAAGTTGAAAATTGATAAAATTTTCAGTTCAATATATATATTTCTTTAACTTTATTATTTTCACCTATAACATTTTCAAAAATGAAATTATCTACATTACTAAATATTAATAAGTATAAAAAATTTTAATAAGCATGTAATTTTAAATTTATTATTTTATGTATTAAAATAATTTAATATCACATTATATTATTCAATAAATATGAAGCATAGAAAATAATTTTAATAGAGAAGCATTTAAAACTTTGATAACACTAATCCGATCAAATGTTTTTTTTTTTAAATTTTTATATTTATATACCAAAGCTAAAGCTCGAAGATTATATTTCTTACTCAAATTTAAACAACAGAAATCGTGCGAGGAGCTAGAATGATTGTAGTATCGTATATAAAATTTATGTGCTTACTATTTATACATATTTTAAAATACTCTATTCATATAAAAGTTGACTTAGATCATTGTCATTCTAACCCCTTAATATGTCTTCCAGATCCTCAACGAAAATGTCAATAAATTAATTAAATTATATGTAAATAATGAGAGGCTATATATAATCATTTCATGACTTTAAACAGTATCTTATGAATTGAAAAATGTAATTATAAAAACCATATGGGGGCGTAAATATTATAATTTATCTACAATCTAATTCAAAAAGATTAAAAATCCATCAATTGATATATGATTATATTAAGAGCTACTCACATATAATATATAGTATAATATCAGTAATGGTGAATGAATGCATTACCTTGACAACGCTAATCAATACTTTCAATGAACCAGATTGCTTCCTCTTCCATTACATTTATAAATAAAATCATTAACACCAGTAAAACAAACAGTATTTATTTAATATCGGTTTTAAACTTTTATATTTCGTGAAAAGGGACATTCGTTAGTTTTATCTTCTTAATCTTTCAACAACCGGCCAACTCCGATCATCGTCTCTTCGAATTTCATTATCTATTCAATAATATATAGCCGAAAAAAAATGGTTAACTCAAACACCATAACGGCAATAAAGATTTTAACAAAACTTTTGACAAATCTCCTTAAATCTTTTCAAAAAAGAAATTTATTTTGTGCATATGTAAAACTTATACATATTCTGAAAAATTATTTCTGTTTATAGTTCTTTTTTTTATTTTTCATTTAATTTTTTTTAACAGTGAAAGCTCTGGGAAAAAAGAGAAAAACTTCGGATATGAAATGATATTAAAGTAGTCCCTGAAAAATTGAATAAATAATTAAAATAAATCGTAATTACGGGAACAACACTTTTAGAGATAAATTTCTTATATATTTTTTCTTGAAATGTACTTATATTTAGTAGCTGTGTATGCATTGTAATATAAAAAGAGAATATATTGTTATAGTCTAAATTTTTAGAATAGAAAAAAATAGAAAAATAAGCTTTATACTGGGACAAGTCCCCTCAAGGTAATGATAATTTAGCTTAGATCATTCATAAAAAAAAAATAGACTAATGAAAAAAAAAATTTGTCTCCCATTTTTGTGGAGGCGGGAGTTCAACCAAAAAGCCTCCCCGTCTTGTAGATCCACTAGTACATCCCTCACTTCTTCTGCAAGAGATTTATTATTTTTTCTTTGAATGCACTAATACTTAAAACCTAGTACCATATCTACATACAATAATATATTCATTATATTACAGGTATCACCGCTGTTGAGGCCTGAAACTCAAGACCAAATGATCCTGTTGCAATGGCGTCTCTGCTACCCCATCCACTACACAGCTCAGGCAACTATGCCGGACTGCAAGAGCGAAAAATATCACAACTGGTACCCATTCACTTTCCTCATATCAATGGTCTGGATATCCTTCTACTCTTATATTATGGTCTGGATGATCACCATAATAGGTGAGCTTTATGCGTAATTAATTACGGTTCATTACTTAATTACGGTCAAATATTATCCAATATTCATATATTGGATAAACATATAATATAAAAGATAAACATTAATAAAGTTACAGGAAAAATGGGATATGGTCACGTGACTGATCACGTGACTATGAAAAATGTAAACATTAAAAAGGTTATACAAAAGATGAATATTAGGAAGGTTTTATTATAAAAGATAAACATTAGGAAGGTTACGGGGGAAAATAGGTGTGGTCACGTGACCGATCACGTGACTATGAAAAATGTAAACATTAAAAAGGTTATACAAAAGATGAATATTAGGAAGGTTGTATTATAAAAGATAAACACTTAGTTCATACTAAGTAGTTTAACAATGAAAATACTTAATTTATTCAAAGAACTTTTTATATTTTCAATCATGATCTGGAGGCTTTACATCGTACTTTTTTCCAATGAAAATAAGGATAGATAACATGGTTTGACAATGCTTGAACCATAAAAAATAAAAGTTAACTACACGAACATTTTCGAAGATAATTAGTCATAAGTTAGTTTCATTCAAATGTATGAGCAAACAGTTGATAACATTTGAGTCGTTTATTTACAAGACCGATTTTTATCGATATCGAAATAAGCATCCTTTTATAAGGTAAATCTGTCTCCGAATTTGATGGATGTACTAATTATTGACTGAATTTAAAAATTTCATATTTTAAAAAATGTAATTATTTACAAAAAAATAAAATAAAATACTGAAAGTTTTTGTTTCAAAATCCTCCTAAACTGTTTAGGAACCACATAGTACTTGTTCATTGCTTGCAATGGAGAATATTTATCATACAAAAGTCAGTATAACTTTTGTCTATCATGGAGTTACTTTCTGTGTTTTTATAAAAAATTATAAATCCAATAACATTATTTGAATTTATCTTGGAGTTTTTAAAAATCAATCAGTTTTCAGTTAAATTTCTCGACATTCGTTTCTTTAATTTACTATACATGTTTTAGCAACTTGTCATGAACTTGGAAAGGGTGGATTTTTTTGGATTAGCAAATTAAGGTTTTTTTTTCAAGCCATCGTTATAGTTGTAGAATCATGCATATTATCATTTATATGCATTTGATTTTATTTATAATTTTAATTTTAGAGTGTCTCCTCTGCGTTGGAGCGCGGAATGTACAGCACGGGAGTCTTTCTCGACGTTGAACAGGCGTTTGATAGAGTCTGGCATCCGGGACTGATGTACAAACTCCGTGAATTCCTACCACCTACTTACTTCCTCATTATCCGTTCCTACCTTACTGACAGATACTTCAAAGTCAATCATAACAATGCTTATTCATCTCTGTTTACTCAGTCTGCCGGTGTTCCTCAAGATAGTATCCTAGGTCCTATCCTTTACACAGTTTATACAGCTGACATCCCAACCCAATCCAATACTGTCATCACCACCTATGCCGATGACACGAGTATCCTATCAGTTAATAACGATCCTTTAATTGCATCCCAAACTCTTCAATCACATATCACAAGCCTTGAAGAATGGTATAAAAATTGGAGAATAAAAATAAATTCCAACAAATCCCATCAAATCACCTTTACCCTCCGTCGTAAAACTATGACCTCTTGTCCTACAGTATCCTTCAATAATACTCCACTTATTCCTGTTGAGCAAATCCGCTACTTAGGACTCCACCTTGACAAACGACTCACTTGGAACCCCCATACCAGACTGAAACGACTAGAAACCGCCCGACGTTTTCGACTACTGCAGCATTTACTAGACAAACGATCTAAGCTTTCAATCAATTATAAACGACTCGTATATATGACAATAATAAGACCTATTTGGACTTACGAAATTGAGCTTTGGGGCTCCACTAAACCATCGAATTCCTCTCGTATCCAATCCTTACAATCCAAAATCCTTCGTAAAATCCTCAACGCTCCTTACTTTGTCACAAATAAAATCATCCATAAAGACCTTAATGTTCCATATGTTTCCGATCTGGCCCAATCCAGATACCTTTCCTTCCATAACAAACTGCAGAACCATCCGAATCCTCTCGTTTCAAACCTTGCTTCCTCCTCGATCCCTGATAACCCTCCGAGGCGTCTGAAAAGAAGATGGCCTTGGGATCTTCTAATATAGAACTTTAATTTGAGTTCTACCAATGGGTAGTTTCTCTTCATGTTGTACATGCCATGTTACCAATTTCTCATTTACTTATTGTATTCTCTATGTAATACAGTTGTAAATTCCATTAAAATAATAAAAAAAAAATAAAAAAATAAAAAAAATGTTAGAGTATTGTGTTTTGATTTTACTTTTCAGAGCCCGCCTTATTTAATGGATTTACAGAAAACCAATATCACATGTAACTAAATAAATAAATAAAATTATTTAATAAATAAAAAATGTTTATACAGATGCAATAGTTCGAGTGAAGTAAGTGACGAAATAAGAGTTGTTTACAAGTTTTTTTTTGGACGAGACTTGAAGTTTAGAGGTGGTTTAACAATTCCGAAAAAAAAAAAAATCAAAGCCAGTGAAATACAACGTTTAGTCATTTAATTTACATGCTTCTCTTAGATAGACGACTAAAGTGGAATCCACATACTAGACATAAAAGACAGGAACTTAACCGACGTTATGGCCAGCTATATAGACTATTTAATAGAAAATCTAAACTTTCTATTAAAAACAAATTACTGATCTACAAGACAATACTGAAACCCATCTGGACCTATGGACTAGAATTGTGCGGAATAGTTAAATTTTCAAACATCAAACGCATTCAATCCTTCCAATTTAAAGTCCTCCGTAGAATAGTCGATGCTCCCTTCTACGTATCCAATAAAACCCTGCATAATTACTTTAATATTCCATTTATATTTGATCTTATCGCAGAAAAATCTATCTTTATAATATAATATGATAGTTTTTTGTCGTAACGATCACTTTTCCGGCTCTCAGGAGCGATGTATTTTGATGAATGAGGTATCAAACGAAAGGGTATTAAATGGAGCAATGATGAATCATAGTGACATCCACCTGAAATTTCAGGAAAAGTTATGAACGATAAGAAAATTTATTTGCGAATTACTTGAAAAGTATAAATTTTTTTCTCGATTAGACCCATTATTATTTGAAAATTTACTAAATTCCCTGCAAAACGAAGAAAACAAAACATGAAAATCGATTAGAAATTTGTAAATTAGAAACAATTTGAACCGACCCTAGGAGCAAAGTGGGTTCAAATAATTTTTTAAGGAGGAACAGAGTTGAGATTTGTATTTCGCATCTCGAAGAACCCTCAAAGGCGAATTTTCATGGCAATCGAAAAATAAAATAAATTTTTCTATGAATTGGAACCAAAGCTTTGGAGTTTTTTTTTCAAAAATCATAAAAAGCGTGATAACTTTAACATGCCTCGACCTATCCGCACGAAATTCAGCAGGAATTTAGGGCTACATAAACTACACGAAATGACACAAACTGGACCTCCCCTAATTATTTTGAGACTTGAGATATAAATTAAAAATGTGTAATGAGTTTTTATTTATTTGCACCTTGTAGAGGTATTAGATCAAAAAGTTACTTATACCGCTTTGAAGGGCAATTATTGGGATTTCCAATGGTTATACACGCACTGATTTAGGAGAAAAACCTGAGGAGTTATGAAGGTTTTAGTAAATTCCAGGGAAAAAATTATAATGAAAAGTAAACCAGTTGCTGTGGCTGCTACCTCAACACAACTATCTATCATTATAATATAATATTTCTCAATAAAAAAAATAAATAAAAACATATTTACAAGCTGACTTGAAATTCTCCTCTGCTTAAACTGTTTTATTAATTGCTCTCAATTTATATATGGCAAAAGAGGTTCGTTGTCGATTTGGGAAGTGGTGGTAATAAATATCAGTCAAAATCTCGCTTTGGGCACCTTCAACCCACGCAACAGCCCCAAGGAAGAGTAATGCTCAGTTGAGTGTGTCTCTACAGAGTTCTTCTGACAGTCTCTCTTCTTTTTATTGACTCTAATACCTGCAGAGGTGTCCGGAAGGGGGTCGCATTGCACTATCAAAATTTTTGAGGGGTACATTTAGACAGAATTTTGAATTTTTGAGGGGGGACGTTTCGATAGAGTTATGAATTTTCGGAGTGAAAATTTTCGAAACAGGGGTCTGGAAGAGAAACATGGGACAGACGACAGCAAGTGTAATTGCATATGATCTACGTTTTTCCTAATTTTTCTTTCGCTTGAACTTTTTTTAAGAGTAGAACAGTAATACAATTTTCGGAGAGGGGGTACCTCTGAATATATAAATCGACTCAGAAAGCGGAGGAGGGGGGCCTAAGAACAAGTTATGTATAAAAAATAAAATCTTAGAAAAATTGAATTTAATAGTTATTACGTTTAATCTTTTTGGCTCAAGTAATCTCATTCAGATATATTATGCTTTTTCTGTTGGGTGATATTAACTGTATAGTAGATTCAAACTTTTGTAGTGTAATATGTTACTCTACTTAACTTTGCTGATGACCATTTAGAACAGATACGAACTTTGAGATTTTTTTTTTTTTTTTATTATTCAAACTTTGCTATGAACATTTTTAAGTAATGTCTGATTTTCATGGTTTTTAGGAAGCACATTGGGAATTCCTGATACAGTTATGGGGCTAACTTTTGTTGCGGCTGGAGTCAGCGTACCAGATGCTCTTTCCAGTTTGGCAGTAGTTAAAGAGGGTATGTTGATATTATTTAAGATGAACAATCTTATTTTAGTTTTTCATTTTAAGTGGGATCTTTAATTAATTATCACATTTAATCAATAATCCCACAAATACATTTTACAAATAAAAAATATTTTTAATAAGAAACAATTTAAAAAAATATTTTATAACGCTTCATTAGTCATTTTCATTTAGCTTTTATAAGTAATTTTCAAAATTATGAATTAAAAAACAGTCAAAACAACTTCAAATCTACCACTGATTGGTAGCCTATGAAAACAATAATGATTTATTTAAAATTTCTTTGCAAATTCAAGTATTTTTGTATATTCTCTTCTTATTTCACATTTTCTTTGCTATCCATCTTTTTTGGTAAAAACAGGTATTTCTTATTTTCTTTGTCTTCAGTAGATTATTATTTTTTTTTTTGTATTCAAATAATATACTGTCAAATAATATAATATCACTAACAAAAATATAGTTTAATCTATAATATTAAGTAAAATAGATTTTTCTTATTAAAAAGATTTTTAATTTATGTAAGTATTTACGTCTTTTTAAACCTTAATCTATTATTGATTAAATATGAAAAATATATTATTTAAGTTATAATCTATAAAAGAACCTATTTTAAATACCATGAGTTTTGGTAACGAAAACTGGATTTAAGAAAATATTTTAATTGTTAAAGGAATTATATATTTAGAAGCAAATCTCCATTTATGAATGTAATGTTAAAAGATCACATATATATATTTTTTCCTTTAGATTTCCATACATAATAGATCTTTTGCCGCCATAACCAACCTTCTCCATCTCTCCCTATATAGGAGCTATTGCTCTCCTGTTATCTGCATGAAACTTTACAGCATCTTTGTTGATTAGATCTATCCATCTGGGTTATAACCTTCTCCATGGTCTTTTGCCAACTATCCAGGCATTTATTGTTTTGTAGAGGCTTCCTAAAGGATTGTTTTGAGCTACATGTCTTGCTCATCTATTCCTCCTTACTTCCATATCAAAAGATATCGATTGACCAGTTTCTTGAGCAGTTCTTTATTGGTTTTCCACCTCTATGCATAAGTACTCTGATCTCCGATTACACCACTTATGGTGCTAAGGGTTTTTCTTTTAAATCATTCTATACTTCTATTCAAAGTGCTGGCTAGTGCTCTGGTTTTGTAACCATATATCAGAATTGGCTTTATAATAGATGTGTAATTCCTCATTCTATTAAGGGCATAAATAGCAATATATCACCAACATCCTTGTAAGTTCAGCCATAACATTTTCTTTTTTACAGACTATAAATGTATCCTCGTGGTTGTAATTATGAGACTTTTATCATGATATACATTTGAGTATATGTATAATTATGATTTACAGAATTACTATCTAATTCTTTGTCTTTTATTATGAAATACAGATGAGTTTACTTATAACTATAATTTACATAACTACTATCTAATCACTTAATTATTTTTTAAAAAAGTCTAGTTTAATAAGTCTAATATTATTTCAACTGAAAGTTTTATTTATTCTATTACTTTGGTATTGACAACGAATTGATTATAAAAATTCTAATTTATTTTTAATAATAAAGAGATCCATCATTATTAACAGCAATTATTTTATTTTTGTAAATTTCATTAACATTTTACAGGCTATGGGGATATGGCAGTTTCAAATGCTGTGGGCAGCAATGTATTTGACATTCTTGTTTGCTTGGGACTCCCTTGGTTTATGAAGACAGCAATTTTCAATCCTGGCTCAACAGTCAGAGTATACAGTAAAGGTGAAAATCTTGATTTAATTATAGTTAATAAAAAAAAATGTTTTTCAAGCAAGAAACTTCACATACATCAGAGCAGTTCATAGATGCACTAGTGGATCAAGGATTTAATTTGAGAGGGAAGAGGATTCCACCCAAAAGATTTTATTTTCATATACATAACGATAATTACTATTTTAAAAAATAGAAAGATACTAACTACCTATATGAAATGGTGTCTAAGTGATTCTTGAAGTCCTATTAAATGTAATAACAGGAACAATAATACTTATAATATTTTTTTCTGTAAAACATGGTTACATTTTATCATTTTGGGAGGCTTCAGCTTGAAAACTCCCCCTCCACCCCCTGTAGATCCACCTGTGCATAGAGGTAGTCAAGTAAAATGTCTAATAATACTGAAAAAGCTATGTAATTATTCATAAGTGGAAATAATCACTGGAGTTAAAGTAATTTAATAAAAAATAAATATAACTTTGGTATTTGAAAAAATAAAATAAAAAATGGTCTTCCCATCATAAACATGTCCTGTCATTTTTCTTGTTAGTTATTCTTTAACATCGTGTCTTATTATTTGGAAATATATTAAATAAAATCCGATCAACCAGAGCTTTCTTTTAGCTGAAAATATCCAAACTTCAATAATTTGAATAAATCTTGTTCCCTGAAAAATAATTAATTATTTGTGGTCCAATAATTCTGTGACAACCGTGAAAAGTGAATTAAGTGCAATTTTGTGAATTTTTATACGTCTCAACAGAAAGCAAATTCGTCTCTCTTTCTTTAACTCTAATAGGCTAAGTTATGCAATTATTAGAGAGATTAACATTCCTTTGTGAATGATGGGTAGAAATTTGAAAATTGAACTTGCACCAGTGAAAATTCCAAACTTGTAATTACGATTTTCGATAAATAAGAAAAACACACTTAAAACAATATACATAGGTGCCACAGAATTAATTGTTGCATACTTGGAAATGATCCGAGAATTAAATAGGCAAGATATTCCTAAAATTATATTATTAATAGCTACAAATTTCTCTACTTCTATAACATTTTGTTTCAGGACTGACATACTCAACTCTGACCTTGCTCTCAACAGTTGTTTTCTTGGTTGGTATAACACATCTTAATGGTTGGAAAATGGACAAACGGTATGGAATAATACTCATGCTTTGGTATGTCTTCTTCATCTGCTTTGCTTCACTTTATGAACTGAATGTGTTCGGAAACATGAATCCTCCTGAATGTGGTAGTGACTATTGAATGTCATTACAGCAAACTACCAAAGAACGAATATATAGCTACAATGTTTTAATGCTTAAGTTAAGGGAACATAATGTAAGCCTTTAGGCAATTTTATTATCATTTGCAATTAAGTTCCGTTCAAATCGAATGAAAAAATAAATTGTATTTGTAAAATATTATCTAGGATAAGAAAGAACATCAAAACAAATTCTATTTGTAAAATATTTTAAATGATAAGGACGAATAAGTAACATTTATTGAAATAGAAGAAAGTATTTAGCAGATTGTCTGAACATTACAATATAAGACCATTTCTAAAAATAAAAATTATAACTGTTCTTAAAAATTAAGCACATCATTTTTGACTGTGGTCATGATGTAAAAATACATCAGATAGGTGCTCCTAATGTATAAGTAGATGTTTTTATAACAAAAAGAAACAATAATAAATAAATAAAAGCTTTTAATGCATGTACATACTGATAAAAGCTCATAGTCAACATAAAAATGCTCTTATAGTCAGCAATTTTCTTTTTTTTTCAATCTTTGTTGTTTTAACCTCACATTTGTGTGTAAATATTATGTAAATACCATTTATGAATGGGTATATTGCAACAGCTGAACTTCAAACTTCAGTTGGAATATATATAATGCAAAATTTTATTTTATTAGTTTAGTATAATATAAATTTTATGGAAAATAGAAGTTCGTATTGTAATAAAGAAGATTTTTAAATCATAAAGTTTTTTTACTTTAATTAATTGGGATGGAAATTATTGAACATAGAATCTTGAGACGATTTTTTGTTCAAAAGTTCAAATTTCAGGTTAACAAACCATGACATGATTCATGATAATTTAGAAGTTAGATTTATTAGAGTGTAATAGTTAAAGGACTGTTACTAACAAAAATCTTTCTTAAAAACATATATTTTTAAAAAAGTTAGAAATGATAATTTGCTTTAAAAGTATTGCATTGTGCTTCTTAATTTTCTGTTTTATATGGCTACAAATAAACTAAAAAACATGTTTTTAAAAAAATAAAAAATTGTAATATAATAAAAAGTGATTGCACTGGGCTTCTTAATGGAACAAATACTTCAGGTCCTTGTTGGTTCCGCTTTATTTTCTGTACAACATATGCTTCCCAAGTAAACAAATTTAGTTTATTTTCAATTGAATTTAAAATATAATAAAGATATTAATTTATTTTTTTAAATTTAATTATATAAAATAAATTGGAAAAAAAATTGTATAGTGATTTGTTAAAAAATAGGCTTGGCAGACAATGCACTTAAACTATCTTTAATTCATAAACTATTTGTAAAATATAATCCTTTATTAAATATTGTTCCAAAGTATATAGAAAAAATATATGTATATATTTATGTCCACACATAAAGTCATAAATCTTCACATTAGATTTACGAGATCGTAGTATAAGTGTCATTAAGCTAGTTAAGATATGAACTATTATGTTCAATAAGAAACTGAAGACAATAACCTCAAGCCTTATAAAATCTTAGGATGTAAGTTAATATAAAACAAAAAGAATTTGTGATGACTTCTAAAAAAACACAAAAACTAAAAGAAACTTTTTTTTTGTTAATATTTAAGGAATTTATCATAGTCTTATGTAATAGTTAGATTCTAAGTACAAATAATTTCCTTTCAAATGATATCTTAATTAAGAACACAAGGGATTAAATATGGATAAAAAAGTGGAGATCAGTGAATGTATAGATCAAATTTCACGAATCGATTCATTTCGTAAAAACAAAATGTTAACATTAAATGTTTAACAGGATAAATATGAAAGATATATAAGTGGTTAATAAAATGTTAAGTAATTAATTGTAACTTATATTAGTAATAGGATGATAAAAAGGAAGCGTTAAATAATAAAAAAAAATAATCCCCTCCCAAAAAAGTGCACCATTGAATATAGAGCACAAAAATAATGTAAAGCACTAAATAAAATATGTGGGATATAAACGTTAATCTTTAATGGTCAGAAAATTTCCAATTAAGGGCACTAGGCATTGCAGCTTTTATATAACATTTCAACTTAGTAATTAATTAAAAGGCTGCAAGTCATCGGCAATTTAATGTATTAATGTAACATATATTGATGTGGTACTCAACTAAATGTATTCAAAATATATATCCTAAGTCTATTCAGATAAGAGGAATGATATGAGGTTTGATGTTTTCCCAGCATGGTTTTCTTGCACAAATGGTTAGATATTTATAAATATTATGTGTATGTGCACTCCCATTTGTCTAATGTCCTAGACAGAAGAATTACTTAGAGGAAAGAAAATTTGATGTGATTTTAATCAGTATTGAAATATATCTAAAATATATATTGTTGTTTCAGATTATATTTAATGTGAATGCTTAAATATGTAACAAAAAAAAATTTATGAAGTTTAGCAGATAAATGCACTGCCTATAAACAATGTTTTATGCCTAAGTACCATTAAAAAGAGAATGAAATTAATTTTATGCTATAGATGTGTAGGAAAAGCTCTTAGTAGCTGGATCTTAATGTAAGTTGTTTAGTATTGAGATGGAATGTTACTGTAAAATACATTGATATTAATAAAGCTATTGAAAATGTTATTTTTGTCAATAGACGTATACCTAGTAAAATTCTCAGAGTACTAATTAACTTTCACCAAATATTTATTAAGACATTTGGCAAAGAAAAAAAGTTACACTACATTTACATTCTATAAAAATTGATTCGGAATTCCACGCTAATGACACAATTTTCAACATGCTGGAACGAATCCTTGCCTTTACAGATGACCTAACCCAAGTTGCGTAATCCTATGAGTCCCTTAAGAATTTTTTTTTTTAATTTCATACTAAAAACTAAAGTTTTTAAACTTCTGTATTTTTGTTTCTTCAAAAAAAAAAAAAAAAACAACCACATAAATTAAAATAGTATCTAAATGTAGAATACATCAACTGCACAATGTTAAGTTAAATTTGAATTTTATTATTTAATTTTAATCCCAAAATCCATCACATTAAATAGTAAAACTTAAGTGTTTCACTGTATTTTTTGTAAAATTATAGGCATCAATTACTTTTAGCTCTTAATAATAGGTAGTATAAATCCCTTTTCCAGCACTTAAGAGGGATGAATTTTTACAAATGAGGTGTCAAAAGAAAGTAAGATTTTGACAATTTCATATCGCAACTTCAATCAAATTCATTGAAAAAGTAGGAAGATTTAAAACCTCTGAAGCTGATAAGTCATTGAATTGAAACAGACATCAAGACCTGGTAAAATTCTTTCAGAATATACCAGGCCCTGTGCTTTAAACCCATAAATTGAGCCATTTTCGAAATAAAGAGAAGTTATTGCTGAAATTCTCCAAGATGTCGTGGTTGCCATGGGATACAGACCACATATCATTTACTTATTAAAAAATGAAAATATAGCTATTTTGGGGTAGCTCAGTGGTAGGGTACTGAGCTTCCAATGCTAAAGATCCCAGGAATACCGGCTCATCGCAGAAAAATTATTTATTCTGTTTCATTGGCCGTGGGGCGACCCTGAGTAGGTAGACACTCCTGGGGCACACCCAGCCTCTATAAAGTGGGTACCCTTAATTAAAATAATTGATTAAGGGGAAAAACCTGGTGGTTGAGCGTGATCTCGGTCAAATCACCTCCTTGCACAACCGTAGACCAAGAAACAGTGCTTTTCCTAAATAGTACAGAACCGAAGACCCTTCATGGATTGTAGTGGTACAGGTTTTTTATTTATTTATTTATTACAGAATATGACAAACTCAAAATCTACTAAAAGGTAAAAGAAGGAGAATATTTCTATGCTCTTCTGACATTGGAAACTTCTGATATTTTTTAATAAAAACAATATCAAAATTGTGGACCTGTGTTATCTTTAGTGATAAAGATCTTACCCAGGACTAGCTTCTGTAATCCACTCTTAATAAGTGATAGACTTACAAACTAATAATCCTGCTAACCTTTTCAATCCCAACAAATACAGTAGCAAAGTCTTGTAGCTTAACTGAAAAGATTTTTTTCTGTAGATCAAAGTAATTAACTTATTAATTGAACTGTTTATCCAGAATAGTCATTATAAAAGAGTGTAGTTTCATCAATAATGTGTGTTAAATCGACTTTCTTAACAATATATTTTTTATACAAAAAAAATATGTTTTCCTTAATATTTATACTTCAAATATATTAGGGAGAAGAAGAATAGAAACCTAATGTGAGAGTTCTTGGAGTATTAATTAGTTTTTATTAAATGATTTCTATATTTGATTAACTTTTTATATTTCAGGAAAATTTGAAATAAACAGAAATATTTCACTAAATGGCAAATCATTTATATTCCAGGCGCGTAAAGTAAACATTCATTCTTACAATGTTTTTTTAACAAACTTTGGAGACTACAGTTATAAAAATAAATATAATATTATTTATTTTAAACCAACCCATACATATATAAATACCGTACACTTTAATAAATATTTCCAATTTTTATCAATAAAATTAAGATTTGTATTATTCATAAATATATGTACATCTACAATTGTATCAAAAAGCTAACATATATACAAGTTGAATTACAATTTTGTAAAAAAAAAAAATATATACATAATAATTATATTAATTTGGTGGTTGTGGTGGAGGCCTCGTAAGAACAGCATCAGCTTGAGGGTATCTCTCGGTAAAGGAAGCAATCAGCTGAGGATCAACAAGCCTAACACCATCAACTTGATTACCAAGAGTAATCCTGTTAAAAAAAAAAAGGCAACGATTTTCAAAAAAAAAAAATATAATATACACACATTAAAATCAAATAATAATAAATAAGTATATATATACCAATAAAAAATTATACTGAAAAAAGCAAACTTATGTGTCAAATATATGTATTTCACAAAAAAAAAAAAATTGTTTACCAGTTTGGTTGGACATTATGTGGCCGACCGAAGAGTTCAATTTTACGTGTTCCTGGAGATAGCCTTTCAATTATACCATAAATTTCATCAGGCTTATGGCTTGTAGCCCGAACCTCTGCCACAATTACGTCACAATCTAAGCCTCTGTTCAAATCAGAAATGTTACCTTTCTTTCCAACCTAAAAAAAAAGGAAAATATTTAAGAATTTTCAGAAACATTTAATTTCATAATACAAGTTTTCACTAAATTTGGTGCCTGAATATGCTAAAACATTTGGCAATATCATTAGGTATATGACTAATTAGCGAAAAAGCAAAACAGCAACCTTTCAATAGGCAAAAAATTATATTAATCCATAGAGTATGAATCATCAATACCAGGTATTTATTTAAATCTTATCTTATTTTAATTGAGAGTCCATATATAACCTTTATTTTTGGTCCGGTTAGTTTTAATAGCTTTTGTACTAGCGAATTTCAGATTCAATATTTAGCTAACTGCTTACTTTCCACTCAAGAAAAAATTGTCATATTTTTATCACCATGTTAGAAACAAATTAAAGACTTTGATATGATTCATTCAATATAATGTATATTCAAGGCATTTATAGTAAAAACGCATTTTTTTCTTTTCTGGTTTTGTTACTTTGCCATTCATTCAAGGACACCAATTCTTATTTAATGAACCTCCCCTTCCCCCAAAAAAATATCAAACAATTTAGCAATCCTTTAGGATAGCAAGAAAGCTACAAAACAAAAATCACTGATGTCAATACCAAATATTTTATTTTGTCTTCATACATTTACAGTATTATCTTGTAAACAAAGATTTATTGACTAACCGAGAAACAATATCACTTTTCGACAGTCAGTGATAGGAAGAATAGAAAACTACAGAAATTTTTATTCCAAAATACCTAAGCACCAATCCACACAATCTTAGAAAATTTCATCACAATCGATTTAACGATAATAGGTGTTATGCCAATCAGACGGAGATCACTACAGTCATACTGACCAAAAACATAATTTCTTCCTAGATGTTTAAAACATAAAATATAATACTACATGAATACAAGTTTTTAAAGATTTTAAACCTAAGAGTATGTTCCTAAGACAAAACAGTAAGTGTTTTGTTACCAAGCAATGTTCTTTCCCATGATTGAGCCAGTGTCCTGTTCTTCCAGTTCGTATTATCCTCTGTAATTGATTGGTCTTCACCCAAATTAGCTCGTCAACTCTTTCATACCCCCATAGCTGTAAACATTCCCTTCCCAGCTCCATAGCTCTAAAAAAATAATAATAATTATAATATATATTTTATTCTAAAATACCAAAACAATACAAATTTACATAATTAGATTAAACATTTTTTAAGAGTTTAGCTATTAAAATTTAGTTCGTCTTGCCTTACTTGGAGAAGATAAGTCAAGAGTTTATTTTTAAATACTATAAATAAGATAGGGATTGTAAAATCAACAATATAACAATTAAATTACAATTGAAAACATTTATCTTTTGATAATGACACAAATATTTAATACAATATAAATATTCAAACAAAACTCAAAAATCACTTTATAAATTTATTACAAGAACAGAGGTATAAAATGAGTTACCTGCCAGTTACCCAAAGAAAAATAATGCCATCATCTTGCAATGCTGGAACACCAAGCTGCCTCATTTCATCATCTGACATAGTTCCATAAGGTAACTCCATATGAATATCCCAGGGTGGGTCAGCCATTATAACAGCAAATTTTCCTTAAAATAATATAACATCTTAATATTAAATAAGTACACACAACAGCTTATTTCACAGAAACTTTTCATTTACCAAGTACGGTCATGTCTAAATACCGAAGATCGCATTGAATCCACTGCGGAGGATAGAGTATTGTTTTATCAGAAAGTATTTTTCGCTCTTCAGTTAAGGACTTAGTCTTAATTGCAGGGACTGCAGTGCCATCAACTTCATAATGAACATACCTAATAGTTGACAAAATGTTAATTAAAATCTTAAAATATAAAATAATCTATAATAAAAAAAAATAAAAAAAGGAAGAACAGATAGAATACAAAAGATATAGCTGTAAGCCATTTAAAATTTAATTTATGTACCACAAAAAAAATTAAATGCTTTTGAGACAGCTAAAGTATCATCTATGCATGTAGAATTTATTTTTCAACAATTTAACTATTCTCAATGACACGTTACAGTTACTTAGTGGTTAGTTCATGGCCATGAAAAGCTTAAAGATTTTTGAAAAAGTTCTTTTTAAGGTAGAATGACACAATTAAATTACTTGCAGCTATCCATATGAAAGCAAGTGTTGAGAAATGAGCAGTCGCCCAAGGACTCATCAGTATGCTTTTGAATAATTTTCTTAAAATGAAGTTTTCCACAAGCTGTCCCACGGTTTTCCCTCGAACATTCTGCTCTTGTACCATGAGGACAAAACTCCATCACCTAAAATATCACATTACTGTTAGTATCCAAAATAGCTAAAGAAAATCTATAAAATGAATACAATTAATTGATACCTGAGCTCCATTAGATCTGAATCTTTCTGCTAATGACCTCTCTTTAGCCGTTGGCTTACTTAATAAATCTAATATTTCTTCACCGACTTTTTTGGTTTCTTTTTCTCTGATTGAGGGCATTGAGAGCAAGGACTAAAAAAATAATTTAATTAAAATATTGCAAAACCTTGATTAACTGTTTAAGCAGGAAATAATTATGTAGGGATATAAAATAATACAAAAAAAAAAAAAAAAAAATGCGAGCCTTAAGAATCTCTTAACAAAAATTACAATAAAACTTACAGAAAATAGTACTGAACTCACTGTTACTGTTTAAATATTTACAGTTGAACTAATTCTTTATAATTAATAAAACAAATTTTGATCTATGCTCATTAAAAGAGGATGAAACTAAAAGACTTAGAGGATGGGACAAAATCTAAGCAGACTTGATTATCAATTGGAATAATTATGAAACATAGAATTAGCAAAGAAAATAATGAAATTAAATAATAATAATAATTCTTCATTTATTCTGGGACAAGTCCCTTTAAAATGTTATACAAATATAATGTGGATTCAGAGAATAAAAAATAAATAAACAGACAGACCTAATGAATAAAAAAAATGTATTAGTTACCTTTTAACTTTAATCATTTTCCAGGGAAATAATTGAAAGGTGATTGAATTTTAGTTCTTACTGAATTTTGATTCATGTTCTCTTAAATTTATACATAAATTTGGAGATATGTAAAATTTACTTAGCTAAAAGTTTTTTTTTCTTGTGTATAGTAAGGAAATACTTTTCAAAACATTCTTTATAATTTGGGTCCTTAAAACAATATTATATACGATAGCACTTGGGATAGACAAGTTCAAAAAGTTAGGTAATAAATCATAGAAAAAATTTGTGCTAATTATTCCTAATTTTGTAATATTGTTAATTCCAAAAATTAATCCTGGTAAAAAGTATTATCAAGTTCACTGCAGGAAAGTTGTAGACAATTTTCTTATCTTTAAGAATAGACAGAACAAGCATCCTTCTATGAAAAATTTCCAAGATATTTTGAATATCCCAAAAGAAGTCCAAACATTTTGAGATTTACAGATGACAGAGAATTCTCTCAAAGGAGATTTTGATAGAAAGCTCGGTTTTCTCATGCAGTTTTCAATACAAAGAAGTCAGGAAAAAACAAATTTTTCACCCAACTTTTTGTCTCAACAATCTAGCTCAAAAACAAAGTCATACAGAACTGAAATTATGAGTTCAAGACAGGTATATTCCTGGGATGTTACAGCATCTTTCTTATGAAAGTACCAATTTTTACAATAGATTCGACACTTTTTTTTTCTCAAAAACGTCTCGAACAATTTTGGTAAAATTCTTTATATCAATATAGTATTAAACTGTCACAAAAGATATTAGAGAATGAAAAAACTAATGAATAATAATTTCTGAAAACTAATATTATTTAATAAAGATCAAATGTTTCCATAGAAACTAAATGGAATTTCAAAACTATTAAACTATTTTAATGAAAACTTTTAAACTTAACAAAGCAAAACTTCAATAACTTTAATTTCATTTAAAAACTTCTGATCTGATTACATATTTAAATATTTAGCAATTAATCCTGTTTGAGCAGTAATTTAAGTAAAATAGTACAGGCACTAGTGGAGAGAACTAACTAGGCCACTAGACCTTGTGGTATTTTTTGTCAATCCCTGGCATTTACCACATAACCAAAATGCGAGAGTCAGGATTCATTCCTCGGGACTGCCTAGAAATAAATATTTACTGGCCGAGGTGGGAACTGAACCTACAATTTTTTTTTTTTTTTTTGTTGTTCTCTCCTGCCTCCCCTTGTAGGCTATACAGGGGTTTCTCAGGACAGGGGTTGAGGGTGGGGGATTAATGACAGAGTTAAAATCTCCCCCTTGGCACCTCAATGTTTCGAACCATGCATTCTTGTATTCTTGCTCACCCATCAAGTCCTTACAGTAAAATAGTAAGTGAAAGTTGAATGATGAGTACACCACATCAGATTTTTTGAATTATATTGACTGTTTGAAAAAAAATTATGGGGTGAAGTAAGAAAGTCTAAATGGTAAACAGTATAAAGATGAGATTACAGCGATTAGGCAAATTATGATGAAGTGATGAACCTATGGATTTTTTTCACTGTTTAATATCATATTATTTCTAGAAGGAATAGAAATAATTTAAAAAGTAAAATTTAAATGACTTTGGAATTTTTCACTGCATAATTACATTTTAAACATAGATTTATAATTATATACCTTATTTCTAGAAGGAATAAAAATGATTTAACAAATTAAGAAATAAAAATAACATTACAGAAAATGTGTGAGAATAATGTAATAATGGACTTCCTCAATTTTTTATTGTTTATCAGCTTAACAGCCAACCATATTAATTGGAAACAGTTAATAAAAGCTTCATTACAGTAATTTTACATCTAAAAGAACGAACCATTATATCTGTAGGTTTTTTCTCCCGCTTCTTTTCATCCTTTTCTGCCACTTTAGGAATTTTTGATGTATTTTCATCAATAACTTCTATTTCACCTTTAAAATAAGAGAAATTACATGAGTTTTGAAAAAGAAAAAAAAAATTATTTTTATATACATACATTTTTTTTTTTTTTATGAGCGTCCTATGTTTAACAATAATCTTAAAATCTTTTTGAAGAATTTGAAATTTAATTTAACATGGAAAACTTTTATGGCTCATTTTTTTAATTTATTTTATTAACTTCTTTAGGAGATTAGTGAAAAGTTTTCAATCTTCAATCTAGTTCACATTGACATAGTACTACCATACATTGAAGATGAAACTGTGAAGAAAATTGAATATTCCAAAGAAATAATAACAAAAAGAAGAAGTCTTAATAGCAAATTTAATCTGAGCATCACTTTAACTCCCTTAAAATATGAGTACATAACTTACAAGATTTTCTCTTTAATTCTCTATCTACATTTGAAGAAATATTATCTCTTTTTACTTCATGAATCATTACTTGCAATTTTACATGCTCAGCAGAAATAATGTCTAAAGTTTTCTGGCCGCCATGAACACCTTCCTGAACACTGAAATAATAATTAAATAAATAAATATTTTTTCAATAAAAACTATTTATTATAAAAATGGGCAGAAATTAAATATTTATACATATCTACTAAAACCTCTGTGGTGTGGACTTATGAACACATACAGACTTGTTACAAACGATTTCAAAATAAGTTACATGGACACTCCAACCAGCTAATTAAAGAAATGGCCACAACGATTATGCCAGAGAACTCCCGAAGACGTCTGAAAAGGGTCCGGATGAGAGGCCCACTTACCTAATTATGTAAGTAAAAGCCACGAAAGGGATGCCGCTTATTGCTTTTCCTCATGCCTATCAAGCCTTTTTATTGTATTTTTTTCTCTCTCATGATTAAGCCAGCCCATCTGCTGATTGTTGATGGTTGTAATTGGAAGGTGCGGATTAATAAAGGAAAGTGCAAAAAATAATTTATAATTGAATCTCTGAAAGAGGTATTTTTTAAAAATTAGTATGAGATTTAAAATATAATGAAAATTTTATTCCAGTCCTATAAAATTTAATGGCTATTATTATGTTAAAATTTTAAACAATTTTTCCTAAAATCTTCAAATTTATCCAAGGATATATATATATATATATATATATATATATATATATATAGGGAAAACCAAGGGTAAAACGGAAAGACGCGGTGGAAGAAAGCCTGGCGGGTCATGGCATCATTGAAGAACAAGCCTTGGATAGAGAAGAATGGAAAAATATCTTAAAGAATATTTAGGTCAAGGACAACCGCAGTAGTGGAAAAGTCCTTAAAAAAAAAATATATATATATATATATATATATATATATATATATATATATATATATATAAGGCTTGTTCTTCAATGATGCCATGACCCGCCAGGCTTCCTTCCACCGCGTCTTTCCGTTTTACCCTTGGTTTTCCCTTTTTCCTACTCCTTTCTACTTCCAGCTCCATCCACATAGTTGTCATTCTTTTCAAATGTCCACACCAGCAAAACCTTTTCTTTTCAATATTTACTAAAATGTTTTTTTCCACCTCTATCATTTTCAGAATTCTTTCATTTTGCTGCTCTTTTCCAAAAGTCCATCTCTACTGCTAACAGTCTATTTCGATGTCTTGCATTGATGACACAAGTCTCTGAGGCATAAGTCGTAATTAGCTCGAATATAGCCTTGTATATTAACCTATTTGTACTGGGCTGTATATTCGAGCTCCAAAGGATACTGTTGAGTAGTGCTATGACCTTTCTTCCTTCACCAATTCTCCTGTCAATATCATTGGTGGATGTACCTTCTCTATTAAATATTGATTCTAGGTATTTAGATTTCTCTACAGATTTTATACCTCTTTCAATTGGCATGTTATCAAATGAAGTGCCAAGGTGCTCTGTTTTCATGAAGGTAATTGTCACTTTTTATAACTGTCGACAACCTTTCTGAACATATAATTGATGTCCTCTCTATTCTGGGCTATGATTACTTAGTCAACAACAAACATTAGGTTCATGATGCATAAATTTTCTCCAATCCTTATTCCCATTTATCACATTTTCATTTCCACTATCTGAGAGAAACATTATTATAAATAAATATATATTTTTCAATCTTTTGTTTTATGTCAAAAAAAAAGAGGAAAGAGAACATACAAACTCTTATAGAGTGACCATTATCATCAAAACTCTTTTATGACATGATAAACAAAATCAATTTGCTTCAGGAGCAGTCGAGATATGGGAACAGGAAGAAGAATTCATCTCTTTGATTAAGAGGTAATGATATATGGCCATTCAATTTTCTCAAAGCAATAGTGAATTACCAGTCACAACAATGGACAGTATCACAACATATTTATCTTAAGGCTAAAATGAGGTTGAGAATGTTTCAGGGGTAAAGTGGAGGGAAGTCCAAAGAGATTGAAGCAAAGAGCGACGGAATGTTTGTTTATCCATGTCAATTCTTTTATCTCACTAGCTGTAGGGTAGGAGTATTTTACTAAATAGTAGGTCTAGACTTGTGGGCTGTAGAATCTACAAGATTTTTTTATTTTTAAATTTAAAACAATTCCCCAAAATTATTATTAAATTCTTTTTAATTAAATTGAACTTATTTATATCTATTAAAAAATATTTTTTAAATGTTACCTTATTAGCTGCTGAGCAACAAATTTTTGCAAAAGATTCAGAACTACTTCATGAGATACATTTTTCATCAATTTTTTTGAAACCAGTGATCCAACATTAGCAGAGGAAACAGGCAGATTCGGAGAAACTTCACTTAAAGCTTCAAGTAATGCACATTCAACTTCTGTATCAGGCTTGGCATTTTCCTGAGTATCATCATCATCTTCACCTGCAAGAGCTACAAAGGTTAATGAGCATAATATAAAGTTTATTTATGAGAAATCAGGAACATCATATTAAATTTACCTAAGCAGATATGGGTAGATTAAATTAATAAATCTAACTATTATCACTACTATTAACACGTGAGCAGTTGGTTCTGAAACTTTCTTTTCTAAATTTTTAAGAAAGCCATGAGAGCCACTAGAAACTAATGAGGTAAAAGTTCAAAAGTGCTCTATCACCCATTTAATCACTTTTAATGTATTTGCATTCATAGTTTTGTAATTTTTATTGAAGAGAAGAATAGTTGGGGTGTTCAGTCAAAAAGGAAGGCAAAAATAAATTATAATATTTATTTTTTACATATGCCGACGTTTCGACCTGAAGTTCAGGCCTTCATCAGGGCTAAGAAAATAACCAGATAACAAGGTATGAGAAACATAAGTAAGTAATGATGGTAAAAAAGATAATAAAAAATAAAAAAATAAAATAAAAAAAAAATTATTAGAAAAATAAAATAGATAATATAAAGTAAAATGAAATTGTTAGAATAATGACTAAGAACTAAGAGATAAATAATAAAAACTGTTACATAGTGTGGAATGATGGAAGTAGGCATAATCAAAAAGGGGTGACAAAAGTGTTATAATGGGAATCTTAGAATAAAATGTAAAACATAAAAAAGAAATATAAAGTTATATAAGAAATGAAAATAAATAGTAAAATTAAAACATTGAGAATGGAGTAGTTAGATAGAAAATTGAGATATTGTAAAGTCTATCAAGATGTACAGACAATGTATAATATAATAAAGAGTTAAAAACAGAGAAAAGGAATGAAAGGAAGGAGAGAAGAAATTGAGAAAGCTGAAATAAGAAAGAAATAAAAGAAGTACTACCTTTCTCCTTAAGTGTCGAAGGGAGAATAAAAGTCGTTACAAGGGAGGGGGAGAGAGAAGAGATGTGTAGGTGGCGTCATCTATGTGTAGGTGGCGTCAGCCCTGATGAAGGCCTGAACTTCAGGTCGAAGTCTTCGGCATATGTAAAAAATAAATATTATAATTTATTTTTGCCTTCCTTTTTGACTGAACACCCCAACTATTCTTCTCTTCATTATCCACGACAGTCAATCAATTACCAATTATGTAATTTTTATTATTTATAGTTAAAATCTGTTCGTTCGTTCTTGTTTCCGAACATAAAACTCTATAGGTCATCAATGCCACTTTTTCTTATTTCATTTTTTATCCTTTAAGAGTATACCTAGATATACCATAAATACTGTTACAAAAGTTGAACTTTATTTACATCTTTACTTAGATAATCCTTACAGGTTATTTTCTTTACAAGTCAGGATAATAATCCTAATTGGTTTGTATTTTTCTTTTGCTCAGTTAACATGGAGTGGGGTGATAAAGAAAACCGAATGGGATCGCCTCGCACAAAGTTAGCAAATGTAGATTACAAATTTTCACTACTTTGAAACCTTTGGGTATCAGGCGTATGGGTAACCGCACTATCAATAGATATAATGAGACCCTATCTGTAGTTTTACAGAACTCGATTGGGTCTTTCATGCACTGTGAGAATGGCAAATGCAGTGAGAGTAGTGGCTGCTCAAATCAGAAGAAATCCCATTCAAAAACAACAAATCATGTCACGGGAAATGGGATGATCTATCGGATCAATGTCTCGCATAATAAAAAATGATCTTAGGATGGGCACATTTCGAAGAATGATAGGACAAAGGCTAACCACTTCCCTAAAAAAAATTGGATAGATACAAAGTGCTCCTTGACCATTACACCAATGGTCTTCATTGAAAGAATTTGTTTAGCAATGAGAATATTTTTACAATTGAAGAAAAATTTCCACAGGGACTAGCTGATGTGCAAGGCTAGTGGAGATTAAAGCTCTCCCAGTCTCCCAAGTTCAGTAGACTGCACAAACACACTCAAAACAGTACACAATACACATACATTGACATAAGGTCATATACACTACACACCCTAGGGTCACCTTTCCTGAGAGGACCCTGGGGACGTGGGTTTAAATTGTCCCCAGTAGTCTCTATTACTAGGCCAATCACCTTTGCTGGAGTAAAACTGATTCAGAGCAAACAAACTTGTCTGAGAAATGGACAGACAAATTGGTCACGACATGTCTCTCAAAGGGACATCAGAATAGGAACATGGAATATTAAAACATTGAATGGCAAAGAAACAGAGATCATGGAGGAGATAAAGTCATATCGTGTGGATCTATTGGGCATATGTGAAATGAGGAAAAAAGGGCATGGAGAAGTACGTCTGAACGAACAACACATACTCATCTACTCAGTTCTCGTAGGTTTTAGAGCAAAAGAGGAAGTGGAGATTATAATGAAAAAATCTATTTGCCAAAGTAGAAAACTGGGAACCTATATCTTCCAGAATGATAATAGCAAATATAGAATTGTCAATTGGTAAAGTAACTCTGATTCAGATCTATGCATCAACAGAAGATGCAGATACTCTAGATAAGGAGCAATTCTATGCAGATCTAGAAAAAGAGGTGACAAAAGGGCAAAACAAAAACAGAGACATAATTATAATGGGAGACTTCAATGCCAGAATCGGAAGGGACTATACAGTCAGACACGGAGCCATGGGTTATGGAGGTGAGCACACAAGAAATAGAAATGGACAAAGGCTCATAGATTTCTGTGTTGATTATGAACTACTCATTGAAAATTCCTTTATCCACATAAAAGAATCCACCAAATAACGTTCTCTGCAGAAGAAAGAAATGTAAATAGTATAATAGACTACGTTATATGCAGTCGAAGAATCAGGAAACTGTTTACAGATATCAAAGTAATCAGAGGTGCTGAAACTAGCTCAGGAGACCTTCTCCTTATAGGAGATACTCTAATCCTCTCTCCCAAGAGGCAGTGGCCCAGAAGCTATATGAAGATCATTAAGGAACTTCAGCCACCTGAAAACAAAAAGAAATTTAAGAACTTCTTAATCACAATATCCAGAAAATCGGGACGGATGGAAATGTAGATGTTCTGTGGGAAAAATAAGAAATGCAATAATGAACTCAGCAACTTGATGGATCATAAAAATCTCACCGAAAAGCAAAAGACCAGAATGGTGGAATGAAAGAGTGAAGGCAGCCGCAAGAAAGAAAACTGCTTGGAAGGACAATATTAGAGATATGACTCCAGTAAATTTGGAACTCTATGTACGCAGAAGAAATAAGGCGAAATTAGTTATTAGAGAGGCAAAAAGGAAGAGTTGGGAGGAGCCTACAGAACAACTACCATGACAATATTAAGGCATTCTGGAAAAAAATTTAATCAATAAAAAAAAGAAAGAAAAGTAAGCTCATAAGGAATATAAAGGATGAAAGAGGAGGACTAATCACCAGAGATACAGAAATTCTGGTTAGGTGGAAACACCACTATAAGGACGTTTGCTCAAGCAATGATGCTGATAATAAATTGAATATATGTGAAGCTGCTCTTCCAGAATTTGACGAGATAATCTGGGAGGAAGAGGTCGAAAATGCAGTAGAAAAGCTAACTAATGGTAAGGCAGCTGGTAGGGATGGTATTGTGCCAGAATTTATTAAATAAGGGGGACTCAAACTGATGAAAACCCTACAGTGCCTCTTTCAAAAATAATCGACTGAAAAAGTTATTTCAGAAGATTGGAAATATAATGTAATTGTTCCAGTATATAAGAAGTGAAATACAAGCGAATGCGGAAATTATAGACCTAATGGTCTCTTGCAGGTTGTCTATAAGATATATACTTCAATACTGGAAAAGAAACTTAGAGCAATGATGGAGGAACATTTAGAAGAAGAGCAAACTGCTTTCAGGCCTCACCGCCAAACCCAAGACCACATATATTCTTTAAAAACAATAATCGATAATGCTTGGGTACGGAACAGAAATGTATTGCTCATATTCTTGGACATAAAGGCCGCATTCAATTCCAACCCTAGACAAGAACTATGGAAGGCCCTGATGGACAAAAATATTCCAAGAGGATTGATTGATAGTATAAGGTCCACGTAACAGAACTCAAAGGGCATAGTTAGGATAAATGGAATAGAGTCTGATATTTTTGCCATGAGTAAAAGTGTTAAGCATGGGGACAGCTTGAGCCCCCAACTATTAATCATATATATGGATGAAATTATAAAGATTTGTAAACGACGAACAGCACGAACAGTTGTAGGAAAATGGAACATGAGGATGATATTGAGGCAAGTAATGGTCTTTGCAGATGACATTGTTCTCATATCTGACTTAAAGGAAAATTTGCAGCAAGCAGTGATCAAATGGGAGGCTGAACTAGAAAGTAAGGATATGGCAATTAATGTCAGAAAGAGCAAAGTAATGCACATAGGACGGGATCAGGAGGTTGTTGAAATTTATTGCAAAGGAGGGGTACTGTAAATGGTGGAGGACTACAGGAACAGTAATAAACAAGAACGGAAGGGTCGACCATAAAATTTCTAACAGGATTAAAAAGGTCTATGATGTGTATTACAATTTATGCAATACAGTCATTGGGAAAAGGAAGGTAGGGAAAATTGTAAAAATATGTTTAAAGCGGGTATATTTACCAACCCTCATATATGAGAGTGAAAGCTGAAACCCATTAACCAAACATCTTAGCAGAGTTACTGCTAGTGAAATGAAATATCTTCGAAGGGTAGTGGCCGAACCAGGAATGAAAAAATAAGAGAGGATCTAGGTGCTGTCCCACTAAAGGATTCTATAGAAAAAAGGCAGCTGAGATGCTTTGGGCATGCATGCCGTATGAATGAAGACCGTGGCCCACAAAAATTCATGGAGGTGAGGAAGACCCAGATTGTCGTGGATAGAATATATCACCCAGATCGGACAGAAAAGAGGGATGCGGATAAGGGATATGAGGGCTCTAGCTTAGGACCGAAATGCACGGGATTCAATGATCAAGGCACCTCTACGCTGAAAGGCACAAAGGAGGTAGAGAAAGAAAAATGTAATCACCAAAATGATCATGTATACGCACATAGCTCTAAAGAAGCCCAGGAAGTCATTGGAAGAGTGAAAAGAGTCATCACCCTTCCTCAGTGATGGTTTGGTGGGGAGAGTGCTTTGATAGCACCACAAAGCTCCATTTTTGTGAAAAAGGAGTAAAACAGCCACTAAAAACTATCAGGACGATATTTTGGAACCTGTTGTCAATCCTCTAAATGACACTCCTGTTTCTGGAAGTCATTGGGTTTTCCAGCAGGATTTCACTCCAGCTCACAAGGCCAGGTCAACTCAGCAGTGGCTGCAAAAGAACATTCCAGAGTTCATTTCTGCCTCCCATTGGCCCTCAGGAAGCCCTGATCTCAACCCACTAGATTATTGGCTTTGGTCCGAACTGGAACAATCTCTGGTCTGAGCAGTAGAGCGCTTTCCTCAACAACTGCTGCATACTGCTATTGATGACTGGTAACGGAGATTAAATGCCTGTGTCAAGGCAAAAGGGGAACATTTTGAGTGATTTCTTTTTTGTTTTACTCTCTATAGATCTACATTTTATTTTCTAATTAAGTTTTTGAACAAATTAATTTTTCTGTTGAAATCTGTATATATTTCCTTGTAACAATATTTATGACAGAACTATATATATATATATATATATAGGTCCAAGCGCATGTACACTCACTAAAGTTATACACATACATACATGCATGATTTCTCTTTTCTTTTCTCTTTTTATTCTGTTCCCATAATCTACAGTCGATTGTATGTCATATTGCTTAATTTTAAAATAAGGACCAATTGTTGATAAATCAGGTTTTAATCCAAAATTATTGATATGTGAGCACACAGGGTTGTGATCATCAATATCTAGTCAGAAACATAAAAAAAAAAACAATGATAGGAATTCATGAAACTAAAATAGAACATCATCACTTAAAACTTTATTTCTAGTTTTTATTCCATTTTTTGTCATCACTAGGTATATTATAGTCTCAAGAATTCCTAATAAGTTCAAGAATGTAATCCCTTCACCTTAAACTTAATTAAAAATTGTATTTATTTTGATATTAATTTGGCATTTCAATTTTGTTATCAATGTTATCTATATTTATCAATAGGAAGAGGTGAAAGTGACAGGTGAAAAATATGGAATTTTGATTTGGTCAAAAATATGGCTATTTAAATCACAGCTAATTATAATTCTGGAGGTTAATCGTCACAGCAACCTTTCAGACTAACTCCACTATTTTCACCATTACATGTACAAGTGTGATAAAAGTGATCTTGCACATGCACCATCCTGACGGAGCACTTATGAACTAGTACCACTAATACTTTAAATTAAACCTACCAGTACACTCAATAACATGATTAATGTCAAAATTGTTTTTTGTGTACCATAGGGTGATAGAAGATAGATAATCCTCGAAAATAAACATGACTAAATCATATGTTATTTATACAATGGTTATAGGATCCAGGTTCCACTATAACTCACTTGTCGAAGATACAGTAACCTATAATGGACTTTTAAAATACAGATTACAGTAAATAAAAGGATAATGTAGTGGCATTCTAACATAGGACAAACCTACTTGGTTTAGGTATTGATGGTGGAGCAGGTGCTTCGATTTTCGTTGCCTCTGTAACGTAAAACACTGTAAGAAATTAAAAACAGCAAATAATGGAATTAAAGCTAATTTTTAGAATCATACCAGAACCACTTGATAAATTAAGTATGTCCTGACGTTCCTTTTTTCTTTTTTGTAATTTTTCCCTGAGACTGTTTCTTTTACTTTTGATTGCTTGGATTTCTTCCCAAGCATCAGACATCTCTTCATAAGAAACGTAGCTCAAAATTAAAAATCAAAACAAACCTTCCCGGCGTAAACTGTTAACAGTGCAGAAAGGTTGCAATATGATAAATATTTTACGAATTTATTCTGAATTAAAGCGTTAATTTTTTCTACTACGGGAAAAGAAATTAACGGTGCTTCAATTTTCTATTTTTAATAAAATAATCATAAATGAAGCAAGGGGTTAATAAACCAAAACTTGAATATTTGAATGCATATTTAAATGGCAATTTGCGGGAGTTCTTATAACCAGCATCAAAACCTATTTCATGTCTCTTGGAAGACCTTCAATTTGAAGAGTACTCAGATTTCTGGTGGATTTCTTATTAGTTGTAATTATAATTATGTACACATGAAATGTTGCAATCTTTTTATCACAATGGAAATTATATCGAAGTTTTGAAAATTGTAAGTATCTTTCATGATTCATAAGCCGGTTTGTATTGATTTTATAACATGGTCTACTGCTATTGGTTGTAGTTAGTTTTTGGATTTGGAGAAGAAACAAATAATTTTTTTTTAAATCTTTAGGCAGTATCTGAAATTATATCTTAAAAAACAGATTTACCTTGCTGGTTTTGGATCCTAACCTTAGTATTATAGTTTGATAATATCTTGGATTTTCCTAAACTGTTATACCATTAAATGTTTTTATTGTTTTATGTATGATAAGAACAATGTCATAAAAATACTATTTTGCCGGTTCTATCATTTTTATTCGGCCTTTAAATGAAAATCAGTGTGATTTACAGAGTTAAATAAATAACTTTTTATAGTCATATTCTAACATTACAACCTTTCAAATTGTTGATAAAAGAGTTTATTATTTACCTTATTATTATAACATATTATTTGCCAAAGTTAAATTTAAGTACTTTGATAAGAGATTATTATCTGTAGTGATTAATATCAACATATTTCTGAGTTTTTTGTTTGTTTTAATTTCAACCTTTCATCAGGAAATAATAAGAAAAATAAAAATAGTAAATGTTTTGATGATTGGAATGTGTGATAGTTGATACTAACTTGATAATATCCACTTACAGAATGGTTAGTTAACTTAAATTTGTTATCTAAGTCCAATAGTTAGAAAAACAAGATATGTTTATTAGTTCAGTGAGATTTAAATCAACTTTTGAAGCCCTTTGTTTTGAATTAGTTACGAAAACATTCAAATATTGATTTGAATGTTTTCATAATTAAATAATCTCCATTAAATGTATCGCCATCACATTTGCTGATTGTCAACAATAAGTTGGCAGGCGCAAATACATTTTTTATAGAAAAAAAAAAAAATCTCAAATGACTAATATTTGAAAAAGGGATCAAGTCTTTCTGACGATTTCTGTACATTGTAATCTTTACACCAGGTTCCATTGTACAAGAAGTTCCATCTTGAACCCAAAAGTTCTGCTTTCTGTTTGGGCAAATCCTGATCCCGAATCAAGTCACTGAGTTCAATTTGAATTAGCAAATGGAGTTTTTGTTCTTCTTGTGTGAAAGAAAAATCAAAATCATCTGATGAAGAGATTTTCTTTTTCGTTATCCTTGCCCTCATTCTAATAATAGTATTCAGAAGGCCTTGGAACTTCAATGGCAATCCGCCCCCGTATGGTATTGGTCGTATAGCATAAGGAATGTCAGGGTACTTCACTTAAGATTTCTTTTTTCGAGACATTCTGTGATGAAGAGGAGGGGTCATGCCAAAGTAGCAGTTGTCATTGTGATAAGTAGGCTCTCCCCACAACATGGGAACAGTAAAACGCATTGAACGACCTTTCTTGTTCAACCATTCTCTTAAGGTTACGCTACATGTGATGCTGCAGTTGTGCGGTGCGCACGGTTTATCTTGGTGACCAACCTTCACCCCAAAATACTTGTGGTATGCTGTTTTGATCATCTGGGTGATAAGACGTTTTTGACTTGTAAAGGTTACTTCCCCACAAATCTAACAAAAGTTGTCAGGAGTATTCACACACTTTCTGGGCATTGTAACTTCACAAAAACTACTTGGTTATCACGACAAAATCGTTGAAAGAATACCTTAAGTAAGAAAAATCATGTCAAGAGTAACTTGAAATGTAAACACTGCTTACAACTGTGAGCTAAATGGTTCGATGATTCACAGCTAGTTGTTTCCCGGGATTCACAGACAGAAATCAACCCTACCAACCCAGGAGCAGAAAATTTCCCCATAATACGCAAAAAGTAACTATATCTTTGAAACTAGAGCTAACTAATGATTTTTATGTAGAAATTCGGATTTCTTACACCAAGAAACATGGAATGAGGCTGTTTTCAAGTGAGATAAATATCAATGTAGAGCAGTGTTATTGAATCAGTTTAATTTATTTATCATGTTCTATTTCTGAAAGATTAAGAGTTGTATGCTAAATTATAAATATATGAATCTACTTTATTTACCTTAGATCTCTTTTGCTCATGATCTAATAAAACATGTATCAAACAATAGCATTTGATAAAATGACTTTTGCTAAACATTTGATTTTCTATTATTTCATGGAGGTTTAGGAATGGAACCGGTTTTATTTCATTATATACTATCCAATTGTATTGGATTAGAGAATTTACTTTACTATACCTTATATAGCAGCTAGCTCTGGAGTATGCTTTCAGTTAATACACTAACAATTCATCAGAAACTATTTGTTTGGAGATAATGGAAGCGTTAAAAAAATTAGGTCTAAAAAATATTCTATCCTGGAGAGCAACAAGCATTCTTAAGGTCGCTTTTTTTTGGTTATTTTTTTATTGGATTAGCCCCTACCCACCATTTCTAGCCTAGAGAGGTACCACCAAACTTATTCTAACCAATGTGGGATAGTCAAGATTCATTTTGTGAGTCATGAAACAAAAGTCCGATGCCTCCCAGACCGTATTTGAATCGACGTAGCTAGACACTAGTATGCTACAACAGGAACACGCTCGCCCATCATGACCTCTTCTTAGGGTCACTGTTCCACATCAGCTCATCCAGTAAACTAAACTGGAAATTTATGATCTCTCTGAAGAGTTTCCTTGGTAAGTGAGGAGGACTTACCATAATTTTAATTCCCAGTTCAAGGAATTTATGTATGGCTGAAAGACAGTGGTAGATCCAGTCCACTTCAATATATGAAGACTTAAAAAGAGTATAGAACCAGTATCAGGAAGGCCTCATTATTATGAAGATCTCTCTCAAGATTAACTGTTAATGACTTGAGAATTAGGAAGTACTAGCTGTGAGTTCAGCTCTGTTTATTGTATAATAGGGGGCAGGGTGGCCGAATAGGCTAAAGCGTGTTTAACAGCACAGCTAGTTGCCTGGCAACCGGATAACTGAGATTTGAGATGATATAAAAAGTACGAGTTCGCGTCCCGGTGCCGGAGGGGATTTTAAATCCCCGGCCCGGGAAAATCCCGTATAGCCTAAAAGGCGAGGTAGGGAAGAACAAAAAAAAAAAAAAAATGTTTATTGTATAATATTTTTCTTGTAGTGGTGTATTAGCATTCTTGTGATTTATCGGCCATAGTAGAGGTTTCTAATTCCACAGTAGCTCATCATCTTTAAAGCCTGGGCTTATGGAATTAAAGACCAAGATTTTGACTTTGACTCACATGACTTGGTAAAGGTCTAAGCTCTAAAGTGAACTGATATTTGCAAAATTTTGCTTTAAAATCCAAAAGATGACATAAGTGACAAAAATGGGATTTTAAAAAAAACTATAGCCAGGTGATGCTACTGCATTTGTTGGAACTTCGAAGGCATTTTGCAATGTGAGCTTGTTCCTTTGTGTCAAGCAGTAGACTCTAACCTTTCCTGTAAACACCTGTACGGAGTTTATACCATGCTTTGGTCAATGGGAAACCATTTTGAAACGCGATTCTGCCCCTGCTCATCTTTCTTGTTTGACCAAAGAAAAATTATCAGACTTGCAAGCAGAAAAATTGTGCCTTCTATAGCCCAAACATTGGACCATCTGACTATTATTCGTTTAGATCAATGCCTCATTTTTTGTAAGGTCAGATCTTCGATAATTACGAGGAGGTAAAAATTGGATGTGGAGAGTTCTTAGTTTCAAAACCAACGGAGTGGTATCGATATCAAATCCAGCTACTGGCAGAATGATGGATGAAAGTAGTTGAAAACAATTTACTTTACTTTGAAGAGTAGTATTCAAATAATATTTAAAATATGCAATATGAAATAAAGCTATTCTTATGCACAAACTCTTTTGTAACAACCTAGTTCATTTACAAATAAGATAATCTTCACAAGTAGCATTATCTTAAATTGGTATTTCTTCTTTAATGTTTGAGGTAATTAGTTTCAAAACAGGCTCTTCCACTTTTTACAGGATTTTTAATTTGGTTCCTCCTTTAAATCCACAGGTTAAAACCATTTTCATACTGGATTGAGACACATTTAGTCATTAAAAATTTTCTAGATTAGGTAGTGCTATGAAAAATAAAATATGAATATTTTATAGTACATTATGCCGATTTTTAAACTAATCGCCTCATTTGTGACATCCATCTGGGTGCTACAACTTTCTTGTAGCCTCTAATCCATAAAAAAACAAATTAGTTTCTATCCTGTATATCCACCTTCATCATAATTTATTTTGTTTACATCATTGGTCTCTATTAAAAATAAGTTATCCTAAGTTGGAGTAATCTAATTCTAATAAAATTAGTTTGAGTGATTATTTTTGTTTTCAGTTTATGCTTCTTCAGTTAATGGAATGACTATACATTTGTCACCATGTCAAAATGCCAGGAGATTGGTAAAGACAAAATCATTTTGCTTACACGAGAAGAGCTAAGTGAACCATCCAAAGTTGAACTGCCAGAAGATGATCCTCAACCAGGTCTGATACTTGAGGATGGAGCAATCAATTGGAATTGCCCTTGTCTGGGGGGTATGGCTACAGGACCATGTGGAGTCCCGTTCCGTGAAGCCTTCTCATGCTTCCACTACTCTACTGCAGATCCTAAAGGATCTGATTGTGTTGAAGCATTTACTAATATGCAAGCTTGTATGCAAAAATTTCCTGCATTATATGGCTCCAATGATGATGACGATGAATCAAAAGATATATTAAATTCTGACCCTAAAAAAAATGAATCGCCACCAGAAAATAAGAGCTAATAAACTGTAAATAATTGTTCTAGTCCACAAATGATTGTATCATTTTTAATTTATGCTATTCCATAGCAGGTTACAGTGATTTTTTTTTTTTTTTTTTTTGTACTTTGTACTTTATTAATGGATTTAAAATAGTTGAAAACTGTATGGAAGTTAGTAAATACATATGTTAGAATTATTTTGTTTACACTCTTATCTTTATCAAGACCTTCACATTTGATCATGCAGGTAGCGTGTTCTATCTACAGCTTACACTATCTTCTTCTTTTTTTCATTTCTATAAATAGATAGATGATACTGTAGCTATTTATAACTGTTATGCAACACTTGTACATTGCAATGCAATGTACAGGCAAACTTCGAACATTTTAAACCAAATTCTGGTTGACTTTTTTTTTAAATAATAAAAATAAGAATGGTATTTCATTTGAATTTAATGACATATATGGGTTTAATTTCCTGAAATATGATTTTAACAGAGAGTTCAGACATTTTTTTTTAAGGGGCAGCAAATAAAAAAAAATTGATTAACAGCTATTTCTAAATATGTTGAAGACACAACCACCAGGAGTCATTTAAATATCAAAGGTTCACAACTGAAAATTGTTAAATTCGATTACACTTTACTGAGGTTACCATGATACAATCCATCTTACTTATAACACCACTTTCTTAATTTTTGATATTTCTTCCTTTTTTTAGTTCTTTCATCTAAAAGGGGCAAGTTGTGAGAAAGTCATAGTATCTTAAGTAGTAGTTAATGAAATTTACTAAATATTCTATATAATAACTCATAGGGACTTGTTGGCAAATTATTTAATCTTATTAAAAAAAAAGATCTCATTTTGAATTAAATCAAAAATTCATATTATTAGAAAGACAATTAGTTTACTTGTTAAATAAATTACTTATGTTTTTACCAAAATTTAATTCATGTATTATTTTATTTTTAAACTTAAGATATCAGAAATAACTTATCTTACCAGCTAAGGCTTACCTATATAAGAATAAGTTATTACTTGTAATATAGTTTTATTTTAAATCTAACAGGTATAATAAATGAAGTAAAGATGTGTATCATAAACAGGTCGTTTTGATATGTCATACATATGACTTGGCAGGTGTTAATCAGTCATTTTTTCATGGATGTGTGGAAAGGTAAATTTTTTGTTAGATGATAAAATAATTCGATCTAGTTTTTTCAGTCCAAATTTTTTTTAAGTTGAGGTCCAATTTAAGTACTTTTTACAAATATGTAATATAGAATATTACCCTTCAAACTATAATGTTTTATTCATTTTACAGTTATAGAAGATTTAGTGCTTTGCACCATGTTTGTCTATTTCTATCAATTCACTTGGTTGTCATCTATCGGAGTGTGACCTGGAATAGATGAGAAATGTCCACTTCCCTTCAACAATCTTAAAAATCATGACAATCTATGGTTGAAAAAAATGTTGATAGGCAATATAGACTACATCCAAGTCAATGTATATAAAAACAGATAAATAAGGCGCAAAGCACTGAAAGTTAAAACTGTTAAATACAAAAATAAAATCCAGTCTATTCATGATAAAATAATTTGTATTAGAAAACTTGATCAAACGTCACAAATATGAAATATAGATAGTAGGAACCAATTTAATTCTATATAACATTTGGAGGGAGGGAGTTAGTTCAGCAATCAAAAATAAGTTGTCTAGCACCAGTATTATAATTATAACATTGTATAAACAAATGTAAGTTAATTTACCAACTTTGTTGTGATTCTTGTCCCATTATAATTGTATGTTTAGGGAAATGATATAACATGTATTTATAAAAAGAGTCTTTTGGTAAACAAAATATAAAGCAATTTATTATACATTTTATAGATAAATACAAATGGCTTATTTTTTCATAATTATTTTTGACTTTTTATTATGAAAGACAAACTTTAACGCTTAACAGGTAATATATTAACATTAAATCTTATAAATACATTTTAAATTTATTTTTTAGCTTTGGCATCTTTATCATCTCCATTCAACTGTAAGATGCGCAGATTCAAATAACTAGCAAATAATAACCATACAACATAAGGTGCCATTATCAAACCTGCCGTGCTATTTATTTTATTGAAAGCAAGTGCACAGCTAGCTGCCGTAGGTACCAATAATGCCATATCAATTAAACTCTGAAAGCAATTAATGAAAAACATAAAATAACGATATTAACATCAATCAAAGGAGAAAAATTAATAGATTTAATAGAAAAAAAAATTACCCCTTTAACATTGTGGGCACCAAAGAAGATAGGAGTCCAAGCCCAATTCAGGAGCAACTGAGAGCCATATAGTAGCAAAGGAATTCTGGCATCACCTGATAAATAAAAATGAGACTTGATCCCTAGTCTTCAGCTTAAAAACAAGTTATATTATTAATCATCAAACAAAATCGCTTTCTGATTGAATACTTGATGGCTGATCCTTGTATATTTTAGAGGAAGGAGATGGTCTGGGGTGACTGGTCATTAAAGACTAAAATAGTGGGAAAACTTTTTTATTTCAAGCAGACATTTCCACCACACTTTGCAGGTCTTCTTCAAACTCCATGCTGCATACACCACCCTGAAAAAGACCTGCAAAGTCAGGTCGAAACGTCGGCTTGAACTAGATAGTTTTTCCACTATTTTAGTCTATTTATGACCGCCACCCTGGACCATATCTCCTTCCTCTAAAATTGCTTTCATTACAAGAGGTTCCTGCTTTTGGTATATTATGGCCCATTTCTTCAGCAAATGGACAAAAAAATATTCGATTCTATAATTATTAAATTAATTTTTAAGATATTGTACTATATAGGTAATTATTCAGTATTTCTTCTTTTTTAAGGCTCCTTGTTAACTATGTGTGGGACCAGAACGTCTGGCTATTAAAATAATCAATAATTAATGTATGATTAATACAAGTGATTCCCATTCTTGATAAAGAAATTAGTACAAATCTAATTCCAAATAGCTAGTAGTGTTTTTACATTATATTAAATTACATTACCTGCCAATCCACCGCCACTCTTCCAAACTAGATAAGATGCATATCCCATTCCAGTATACAATGATGTCCAAGCAATAGGAAACACCCAATTTGGAGGAACAAGCCTAGATTTTTTGAGTCCCTATATGTTAAAATAGAAACAATACATAGAAAGTAAATATGTAGTATTAATAATAACTGAAATTTTTAAGAGTTCACTGACCATTTTGATTACACACCATTACTAAAAACAAAAATAAAAGGTGGGAAAAATATAAAATTAAAGAGCTGCTACTTGAAAACAACCATTCCACATAAACAAATATAAATTCAGTAATTGAATTGTAATTAAGAATACTTACATCATACCAAGGAGTGGTTGCTGGATAGAAACGTGCGCCCACTATACCTCCTAAATGTGGCAGGGCAATAGCCCCTATCATTGGTAATAAATCGCTCCTCATGGTAAATAGGAATTGTGTATGACGGGAGAAAAGAAATGATAGAGGACCACACCTCAGGGAAGCTTTATATTAAAAGTAACCTCCCCTTGATAAGTGACGTATTTAGCCCACGATAAGAGAAGTATAGTTATCTAATGCTTGATTATAAATAATGAAATTGGGAAGTGTTAAAGGAAAACTGCTACCAGATTACGAAGCAATTTTTCGCAATCAAAAATCCAAATACTTGGGAAAATGGACCTGCATCCGAATGAAAGCCTCGAAGTTCGACAAGCCCTGTAACAGCACAGGAAAGACTAGTGAAATATTTTGCCGGTTGCACGATCGTGCATGGAAGAGCAGGCACGTATGCAAGGTCGTTACTGAAAACGACTTGTCATTGTCTGTATTAGTTACAGAAGATACCACTGGATCCTTCGCTCTCACCTTTCAAAGACTGAGTTAATGTTTTAGGGTCTTTAGTCACGTAAAAAATAGTTTAGGTAATCCAGCTAATTATAGGTAGAATATTTATAATGCAATTGACACTAACAAGACAGTTCTAAATTCTTAGCTGTGCTAAAACACCGTACATATGTAATCGCATTCACTGGCGGATCCAGGATTTAATTTTGGGTGGGGCTTCAGCCCGAAAGCTTTTTTTTTTTTCTCAAATATGACGATAATTACTTTGGAAAAAAGGTAGAAACTACCCATCTATATCAAATCGTGTTTAAATGATTCCTTAAGTATTTAAATATAATTACACGAACAATAATACTTTAAGAGATAATTTTTTAATGTATTTTTCCATAAAACGTGGTGATATTTTACCATTTTTTTGGGGGAGGGAGGGAGGGCTTCAGCCCGAAACTCTTGTTAACTAATAATCAGTAAATTAATAATCAGACGACTGGAGTGTTATAGAGAAAGTGCTCATTAGTCTCACCTTCACTCTTGAGATAACTAAGCTTCATTAAAATAAGTGTCTCATTCAATGTTTACAGCCTTCATGGGGGTATTATACTTGAATTTCAAGCAGTGATTAGTTGTTGGCTAATCTACTTGTAAATAAGTCATAGTAATTTATATTATAACGTTCAGTTTTTATTTTCACTTACCTATATATACGTAATATATAATAAGAGAAAGTACTGCGATCGTGCAAATTTTCAAATCCGAGTTTTCAATGGACATACACGTTTTGAGGTTCCCTGAGTCCAAATAATCATGTACCACAAAATGGTCTGTGTGTTCGTGAACAGTCCAACTTATAAACGAAAATTCGTACAAAACTGATATTACCCATTTAAGCTATGTCTGCTGTATATGGCAGGAATATTACAGGACATTTTCCTGAAAATCGGAAGTGCCACTTTATTTTACACATTTTTACGACAACGCCTCAAACGATTTTGATTAAATTCATTATATTAGTGTAAAATTAAGAAGTTTTTAATATAATGTAAGTCTTATTCTCATTGATGTTCTCTAACAGGGCTTAAATGCCTAATTTTCAAAATTTCTTCCTCTAAAATACCTTTCATGTTTTTTTTTAAATTTCAGTCAAAAAATTTTTATTGGGTTATTCAACGTTTCGATTAATATATTAGTTCTATAGAATATAAGTTCATTCATTATTAAGCTATTAAAAAAAAATAAATAAATAAAGGTTTGTCAAAAAAACTGACAATGTTTGCCTGGATATGTACCTTCCTGCACTGGGGCCTGTCATAACTACATGGTCAGACCTGACAAAATTTTATATGTGGAGTAAAATCACAACATTTTTAATAACTTTATAAATGTAATATTTGACAAAAGATTACATTTTTTTAAAATATTTTAGATTGCACAAATATGTTTTAGAAGTAGATTCAGGACTTCCAAAAGACGATGTAAAAGAAATTAAGTTCTGCATCATATTCTTTTTTTGTCCTTATTTTATTGTTTAAAGTGTTAAAGTATGTTAGATCACATTTCAAATCATTGACTTTTTATCTCAACTTTATTTATTAAAAAAAAAACCATCTAAGTGAAAAAAGTGTATGAGAAATTGCCTAATGTATTGCGACACTAGAGCTTCAGAGGTTGATATTTTGGCATTTTTCAGATAAAACATAATAAGTACACTAAGATATATCAACATAAATTTTCATGGAAAACTACTTTACCACATGCCAGCAAATCTAATTAAATAGAGTTTCCAGCTTAGAGCTCCACCCAATTTCTTATTAACAGGTTTAGATACTTTCTTAAAATTTTATTCATTTAAAAAAAAAATTATATATGAATTTTCTTTGTTGACCAAATATGGAGAGAATGATATGTAGATATACTCCAAATATGCAGAAACTTTGTAATATCCTCCAAATATGATTATATTTTATAAATTTAAAAGCAAATTATTTTAATAAGCTGTCAAAGAAGGTTTGTATGAGACTTAGAAAAAAATAATTCCATATAAATCAGTTCTTAGTTATTACTATGATGATTAATGTACACAATGTTTTTAATACTTCAATGCGTTATTGTCATTTTTTATCTTTTGATGTGTGAGTTGTCAGAAAAATTTAGAAGCTAGATATGAAGATATTGATTAAAAAAAATCAATAAAAACAAATATTGGAGTAGATCATTCAGAAGACTATAAAACACTTTTGTAATATCAACATAATTGTAAATTGCACATAATATTCATAATTATATTATTTTATAATAATGATTTTTACATGTTTTAAATTTAAATTAGTTATGAATAATTGTCTTTTTAGGTGTTGCCATCTTAAAGTAATAATATTAAATAATTTAATTTTTGTCCAAATTACTATTATTTAATATTAAAATAAAAAGGTTATATCATGATCCACTATTATACAAGTGGTGGAGTAAAATATTTAATTATACATAAATATAAACATTATTTAAGAAATATTTCAAATTTAATGTTATCATAATATCAGTTTTATTTAAACTTAAAAATGACTTTATTTTCCACCATAATGATTTTAATTAAAGTAATGAACATTAACAAAAAGTTGTGACTGAGCCTTTGTTTCTTCCAGAAATGCTTGAGGACAAAACAGTTTACATACAAGAGCCACTCCTGTATTTTTTTTAGATGACTTGATGGTATTTCATATTTCATACCTCTTCAAATTTCCAAACAAACATGTAGAAGATAAGCATTTATCTTTTTCACGTGAACTACTTCCCATTCTTCAACTTAGACAAGAGCAAATTATGTAATTATGACACAAAATATACTATATAATAAAAATAGGAAAAAAATATTACTATAGTAACTTGCCAATTCTTTTGAAAATTGTAAGTGTTAATCATTTGTGAAATGAAAATTATAGAAACTCTCATGGATGACAGATAAGCAGAACTTATAATACTTTTCAAGCCAATGGCTACCTATAAGTTGCCAGTTTTTTTTAACTGGATTGAAAATGTTATTGTTAAGTAATGAAATAATTGACAAATCCAATATTAAGGACTTGTAAGCAATTTCACAAGAATCATAATTACATATTTGTTCTAAGTAGTTAAACATTGACTACTTAAGAAGCATGGCTAATGTTGTTATGAAACACATGATTCATTATTTTTGAATTACAACTTTATTGATACTCAGAATATATAGATGATTGATACTGCCAAAATCTTATATAACTATTTATATAACATTATGAATAACAAAGAATTGTTCATTAATTGTGCAATGGTTCAATACAGACAGAATTGACATATTTTCTTGTTAGTTTATGAGAAGAGTACTTCAACTTCAATAACAGCTACCATCTTCTAACTCGAGTTAATCTTACATAACCAAGGTTGATTATCTAATTTATTTTCTTGCTGATTTTGTATAACTTAAATATATAAAATTATTTATTTGTCTAATTTAAAAGTAATAAGAAAATTAAGGCTCCCACCATCATTTATTGATTTATTATTTACACATTTTTAATTAATATTTAATAAAACTTTAGGATTTGGTCCTAGATTATATCACATGCACTATAAATATTTGTCATGATTCCTTAGTTACCATGATAAAACTAAATTGCTTTATTAAATCCTGACATTTCGTCCCACATTGTAAGTCTTCATGATTGCTCTAACAAGGAGATGAAGAAACCAAAAACCAGTCTGCATTTAATTAATAGTACTCTCTCCTTACCAAATTGCACAATCTTCCTCTATCCAACAGTTTTTGCATTGGTTCAAATCGGCCCCAGAATGTAGTCATCCCAGGTCAACCCTCCCCCTCTCATGTGGTGTACCTCAAGGTTCCTTTCTATATCCAACTCTGCTTTTTACATTAATGATCTTCCCCTCCTGATCCATCACTCCCAATACCATATCTATGGAGATGATTTCCAAATATACCTGTCCTTCCCTTCCTCAGACCTATTATCAGCCACAGAAAAACTTAAAGAAGACTTGGATAGGATTTGTGACTGGGAGAGAGCTAAAAAGTTGAAGTTAAATGCAGAAAAAATTAAGGCAATCTTAATAGGCTCCAATCACCTCCTTGAAACTGTAATATTCCAATCCTGTTTATAAATGATAATCCCATCAAATTTTACCACTCCATCAAAAACCTTGGAATAACCTTTGATCAAACATTTTCCTGGAAACACCATTTATTCAATATCTCCCGCCGTACCATTTCAACCTTAAAATGCCTAAATTACTTCCATCACCTATTTCCCCTTGAAACACGCAGGCTCCTAGTCACTTACTTAATTTTTCCCCACTTTGGCTATTGTTGTACGGTATTTGGAGGTGTCTCTGTAGATCTCGAGTCGAAACTAAAACATTTGATAAATTGTTTTGCATGATTCACCTTCCCACATCCGTCAATCCAATACCCTTCCTATCTTTGAATCCCGCCTGTTCAATCATTTCTTATCTAACCAGTCTCCATAATTGTAAATATCCATACTACAGTAAATATGCTTATAAATTATTAAATCGTTCTTCATTATTTTTACTTCATGTTGTTTCAATTTTTACTTTTTATTATTAACTGATTAAAGTTAGAAAGTAATTTATAATTTTTTTTTTTATTATGACTATTTAATTACTCTGTATTTTTGTTTATGTATCTCTGATGCTCCTTAGCCCACATTTCTGTCATTCTGTATTATTCTAAAGGGACTCATAAATAAAGTATTATTATTATTATTATTACTGTTTCATGTTCTTGACCACCATTCAGACCATCTCCTTGATTAACACTATGGTCAACCACTAATACATTCTGATTAGTTTTTCTATAACATGTAGGATAATATCTTGAATTAAAAAAATATTAATGGGAGTAATATTAATCAAACAAGATTGAATGTAATAATAATTTATAAATTGATAAATTAGAAAGAGTAGCTCAGTGTGTAAGAAACTGCAATCCTATGCTTCAGGTCCTGGATTCGAGCTTGGCTGTGGTTGATAATTACTAATTCTGTCACATAAGTGTCCTCCTGGAACACATCCAGCCTCTAAAAAGTGTGTATTCTTAATTATTGGGAAAACCTTGTCGTTGAACATTTTTTCCCTTTTTTTACCTTCCATCTGTAAAGGGTTTTGGCAGCAAAGAATGAAAGGGAATTCTTTAAGTTACCAGTTGTTTTAAATATATTTTTAAATCCTGTATTTGACACAACACAGTCATCTATCATCCATCACTTAACTTATTTTACATCATTTTTGGGTTGATAAGGTCAATATTCTCTTAGGACATAAATATAATAATATAGAGGGTGTCATGTAAGTAAATAGGTGATAGTAGACATCGAGGGCTACAAACAAGTTTATACAAACCATGTTCCAAATTTTTGCAGGAATCAAGGAATTTATGTTTTGTATTTTTTAAGTGTTACAATTTTTATATATGGAGTAATGACTAAAATAACATTTAATTTAGGCAATTAACAATTATTTCACTGTAAACCAGACATTTATTTCAAATTCTATATGAAACATTTAAGAAGGGACTAAAGTAGCTAAACTTGGATATTTTATATTTTTCATAAAATCGTTAATTATTCAATTTTTTTTTTTACCACACTTCAACTAGACTACAAATACCCCATTTTTAGAAAACTTACTTGTTTAATAAACTTTGACTCCATATAAATTAAGTTGAGGTTTATTACATAGTAATTTGAGGTTCACCTCTAATTGGATTAGAACATTATGTGATTTGATATTCTGTCACCACAAAGAACCTGTGTTTTCATCAAATACAACTACAATATATTATTGCAAAGTTTTCATTTGTTTTAGTTATTTGTATAAAAATAAACTTCTTATGTATAAAATAACGTATTAAAAATTATTAAAGGAAGGAGATGGTCCGGGGTTGCGGTCATAAAAAGGCTAAATAGTGGTAAAACTATTTTATTGAAAGCCAACGTTTCGACCCGACTTTGCAGGTCTTCATCAGGGAGGTGTGTTCCTCTAGGAGTTTCACTTAGAACTGGGCAACAGTATAATGCAACGGTCAACCATTAAATATTCAATTAAAAATTATTCTTTTTTAAAAAATGTATGATGTAAAGTAATAATGTAGAAGTGTTTGTATACTGTTACAGATCTGTATTTTGGAAATTGATAGTTATTATATAAAGTGACCAGCTTAAAATTCCTAATTCTAATATTTATGCCTTTATGGCATTGCTAAATATGCCAAGTCTAGTCCAAGTTCTTGGGTACCCTCTATTCTGCATTTCAATATTGAACCATGTGGTATGATTATTGAAGTAATTTTTACATTTTCTAAATGATATAGTGTTTTTAACTCCGGGGCAAGTTCTTGATATTTGTGAATATTTTCGGTTCTGGTGACCAACTACTATGTTGGAATCACAGAGTACTGCTATGTCTATGATTCTTCCAGTTTTATTTATTTTGTTTATAACCAAGATATCAGGATGGTTCTACAATACTCTATGGTGTATTGTTACTTTTTCATCCCATTAAACTTTTGCATTTTTTTTTTCTTTGTTTTTCTGGAGTATAACTATACTTGGTTACCTCATCATTGCCCGTTATTCCTTATGATCTGCATATACTTTGGTGGTATATTTTTGCAATATTGTTATGCCTCATCAGGCATTCCGTTCCAGTCAAAGTATTGCAGCCATACATTTATTATTATTATTATTAATTATATTTACACCATCGTTAGTTAATATTAAAGATTAAAATTTAATGTACTTTAATTGATATTGTAACACAATCTAAGAAACTAAAAGTTCAAAGTAATAAGCTAATATATAAAATTAAAAATATAATTATGAGGAAACATACAGTTTAGGATTGGTGTCTTACTTATTTCAATGAATATTAACAATTCTTTCCTGCTATTTTACAAATACTGCAGTTTAACACGTTCGCGCTGGTGTGTACCACTGGTGTGTAGTTATCATTATGGCCCACACTAGATTGTCTCATCGGACAATGCATACCACTGGTGGTACACATTCGATTGTGCTATTAGACTCTGAAAATGAATCGCACCCGCCAGATGAAGTTAATTTCAGTGCCATCTCACAGCAAAACAAATAAAAATCGGTCCCGGCATGAACTTGTTAAATTAGCTTCAGTGTAATTTTTGTTTTTAAAAAATTATCTTTTTCCTGTCCCACTGAAAATACTCATAAGTATTTGAATAAATTAAGAACTAAATACACCAAAATAGTCAAATAAATACATACAAATGGTAAAAAGATAGGATTTGAATGTAGGAAAAGTATATAGATGACAAATTAAGAAATATATGGCATTACATAGAGACAAAAATAACATAAGATAAGATTTGTCAAATACTGGAATTAGGAAAGCTGAAAAATAAATAAATTATTAACTAATGTATAGTCAACATGAAGAATAATCATTGTATAATCTAACAGTTGTTTCAGACATGTCTCAGTTTTATCCAGTTATATTCTGTTTGAAGATGGAAAGCCGTCATGTTTAACTAGACATTCGCAATATTTTAGTGAGAATACCATCGGCAAGTGGATATTGCCGATGCAGGTGGTGTCTCCCAGATGTTGGTCTCCTGAGCTTTAGAGAAATTGGAAGTATCCATAGCAGACCTATTAGTATATCATAGTGCACTATGACATTAAGGGACTATAGAAATATTGTTATTACTGCAAGAAGCGATCCTTTTCATAGTGCCTGACAGAGGAGACGGGGTGGCCAGTGTCCAAATCATTGTGCCCGGTGGGACTTTTAACTCAGTATAATTCTCCTGGCCCAGGAAAAATCCCGTTTAGCCCAAAAGGCAAGTAAGAGGTGAACAAAAAAAACAAAAGTGTTTGACAGAGCCTAAATGAAATGTCTAATGTTCTGCCAAGGCCCATTTTAACTCAATGCATTCGTAATCGTTTATGAGAAGTTGGTCTACATCTTATCTCTCTTTAAGGCGATCTGTTGCAACAGTATGTCAGCAATAACTCCATAGATTATGGTGCGTTGAGCACCTAGATGAGAAACTAATTGGAATGCTGTTATGTTTACAGACGATTTAAGTTACTGTATTTATAGTGATCATTATACTGGAGCAGTTTGTGCTTCCTTCAATACAGTCTAGGTGGTGGGAGTGTGATGACATGGGTACAGATGTACCCATAGATACCCAAGAGGACAGACTCTACTCCATAATGTGGAAGATAATCTTATTGCTGTTCATTAGGTTCAAGATTATAGAGGAGTATATTTCTCGAACTAGAGCCATAATTCGTATAGATTTGCATTTTCAAAATGTCAAGTAACCTCATATGGGTAAAGTTGTTCAACAATGTCTTGAAAGTCTGGACATTTCATATCTACCCCTTCCTTTATTGCCTCTAGATCTTAATCCAATTGGGCACATGTGGATTGCACTGCAGAGCAGGCTTTTTGGCTACCATCTGCAGCTTCTTCACGTTCAGCAACTGAGAGCAGTATTACCATGTTTATGGTAAGACATTTCTTGTGAAACCATTATAAAAAGTATGCACAATAAGTGCAGAGAGCCAATGCATAACAGAGGATATTACACAAATTATGAAATTCTTACAATTCACAATCATAAAAACAAAATCAAAAACTTTCAATTTTAATGTAATTTAATTTTTTCATAACACTTATTATTAAAAAATGTTATGTCAAATACAATCATATTTGTGTTAATTTTCAATGATTTTAAAATAAAAATTCTAGAGAAAATAAATCATTTATAACTAACAACATTCCTAATTATTTTTGAGGAGTACAGAAAGTACATGTCTTGAGGAAACAACAGTCAAAGTTAAACAGCTGAACATCTATATTATAAGAAGTAATTATAATTTTTATATTTTATAAATTATATATCATAATTTATACATTATAATTTCTTTATTGTTACCAAGCTAATTTAATTCTTTCAAAATATTGCTATTAGCAGTAGGTTATTATACAGGTCAATGTTTCAGAAATGCTTAGGGTCATCTTCAGTACTACAGTACAGAAACAATTGTTTAACCATTTTTCCTTTTTTTCTGAAATTTCCGGAGATACCTCTTTACACAGAGCAGCAGCAGCGAAAATTAAAGATGTATCTAGGAGCTTAAATTTAACAAAAATATCTTAATGGACAAGATCAAAATTGATTTTTTAAACTTCTTTTAATTTTATGTTATCATCATGATAAAAGTTCATAACTCCTTATGTTTGAATTATGACGATATGAGATATGTCAATATCATTATGTAAAACAAAACTATATATATATATATATATCAAATCAAATTTTATCAATATATATCAACATCAAATTTTATATTCATACCAAAATAATTGTAAAAATAAATAGGTCTGGTAAGAAAAAGAACAAAAAAATGTTTTATAGTTTATTAAAATTAATAGTTTAATTGATATATTCTTAAATTCAGATATGAAGCAAATCCTAACCAAAGAACATAAGGAATCATAAGAAAACCTGCCCCAAGATTTATTCTGAAGAATGCAATAGTACATGATGCTGCTACCACAAACAATACAACTAAATCAATCAGAGCCTGCAAATTATAAACAAATATAAATATATGATTAATAAATCATTAGTATTTGTATACTTATAATTATTATATAAATATATGAATAGAAATATTTAAAATTATCGGAAAATAAAAATAGTAATACATTAGTAAAGAACAACCAGGAAGTTGTTTATAAAATCTATAACTTACCGCTAATACTTGGTGAGCACCAAAGAAAATTGGGGTCCAAGCCCAATTTAAAAGAATTTGTGCAGTATACAGTATGAGGGCAAAGGGTTTACCTAAAATATATATTATATTATTATTTAAAATATATTTACTTTACATCATAATTCAAGGTGTCTGAACATAACATTATATTAGGGATGGCTACTAGGGAATTACTGCTTTAAAATTTATGATAGACAAAACACTAACTATATAAGTAAAATAGAGCAGTATTCAAATATAACCATCTAAAAATACTGGATTGTTGATCTCAATAGAGCAATTTTGCCTTTTACATAATAAATAAACAAAACATTTTATATGAAACGATAACATATAGGTGGAAATTTTTTTTTTAAATCTATAGAAAATGGTAAAAATTCCTGCATTATGAAGTTAATAAATTACGTTCTCTCCTTTCAATTATAGTACCAAAGTGTGGAAAGCCTATTTTCTATCATATGATAGACAATACTAATGGCATTACTTACTTATTAATACAATCATTGAGGTTAAATTGGTTTGCAGAGTGATTCTGTCAAATCCATAGCGAAGGAACTGTGCAGTGCTGGGAGTATTACAATTACATAATTGCAATATCTTTACCCCAGAACTGATAGGACTTGTTAATGTCAGATTTAGTAGATGCTTAGTTATTCTTCGGTATTTATATTACCATAATAGTTACCACCATCATGTTATATCAGACCCTTTCAAGTTACCTTCTCCATCTGCCAAAGCCTGGTTACTAATATAGTCCTGCTATTGAAAACTTAAACTGATACAACCTGAAGGTTCATGTTCAGAACTTTCCAAAAACCATTCAGTCAGAAGATCCATTAACTCTTCATTCCTTTATATAGTCCAAATAGTGGTATGAGAACCCATTCTTATAGAAATTATTTGCCTTAAGAAGGGTTCCTGTTTAAAACTTATTCACATTTCTCTCCCGAGGAATTTATATCAATATCCTTCTTTTCAGATACTTAACCACCAATTTTAGTAGCTTTCCGACCTCTTCATCTGTGTTCACAAAAATGTGGACATTCAGCTTGTAGGCTGTTAAAAGATGATATTTGTAATCACCCACTGGCATTTAGTTCAAATCAGAGCAACATCCATCTATATTGATGTTTACTTTTACAATATGTTATATTTTTTCTATTATATGATTATATTTTATTTCTTAATTATATTATATTTTTCCATCACATAAACTTAACACAGTTTAAACACTATCAGAAAGAAAAAAGGATTAAGGAATAGCAAGAATCAACTGTCCATTGAATATGAGATATTGATTAAAGAAGAATAATATTAAATAAATTGACTTATGTCAATGGACAAATAAACAAAAAGTTATTTCTGAGAACTATTGTGGCCACCTTTGGTTTATTATTTTTAATTATGTAAACATAATACAAAAATAATCTTTTTAATGCTATAGATAAGAATTCATGTTTTTTGGCTATTCAAAAACTCAATTAAAAAAAAATTTAGTTTATCATATTGAAGTGTTTTTATAAATAAATACAAACCATTAATGTTATATAATGTTGTTGTTTGGTAAAAACATATTTATTTAATTTTTTTAATTAAATTTTCCACTTCAAGAGTTTACTTTTAAAAAAATTACAAGTGGATTTTAATGGAAATCCATTCAGAAGAATATCTTATGAGAAAATTGATGGATTTCGTAGGTGCGAAAATGACTGTTTGTCAGACTCTGTCTAGGCCCGTTGTTCCCTTTAATGAAAAACTGACTTGGAATTAACCAGAAGATTAGACCACAATGTTGACCCCTACGTGCCAAATGAATACTGCTTAGATGAGATTCAAGCTCTCCGTTAAATATTACATTTTTATGTTTGTTTATCTTTTAGGTATAAATAAATTAATTTCAAAATAATATTCATGAAGTTTGCAGACTAAAAAATGAGTAATATAACCATATTAGTTTATTGAAATATTAAAAAAAAAAAAAAATCATACTACCTGAACCACTGTGGTTACTGATCCAGATAAGGTGTGATGCAAATCCTATAGCTAAATAAAATACAGACCATGCAACTGGAAAAACCCAATTCGGTGGCACCAAATCAGATTTTTTGAGCCCCTAAAAAAAAAAAAAAATCATCCATAATTATATTTAAAAATTCAACTTATTAAATAGTATTTAGTTTTGTCAGTAATATTATTGACTATTATACTATTGAATATTGAATATTATACTAATGATCATACTAAATTAAATCAAACATAACAAAAATTATAAATGTTTGTTGTGCAGTGTATATATATATATATATATAGCAAGTTATGTTGTAGCAAAAATATAAACCATGTTTACAATAATGTTTCTAGCTTAATCCTATTAAGTTTTAAGGTTTATATAAGTTAAAATTTTCATTAAAGACTCAGAAAATGAAAAATGTAAGAATTTAAATGTATAATTATATTAACAACTTACTTTATACCAGTCATCAGGTGGAAAGAAATACCCGCAGAGAAAACCACCTACGAGCGGAAGGGCGACAGTCACTAATGTCTGGATCAAGCGGCACATTGTTAATAAAATGTGGATTACTTTACACGCAGTTCAAATTCGGTGCTTACAAACATATATACGTTTCAAAAAACTTTGCAATATATTACGTAATAATTTTTTATGTGAGTAATTTACTGAACTTCTCTTCACTTAAAGTACGTTAAATATCAGCAGTATCGCTTCTTTAGTTGCTGGCAGTGAGGATAAACGTTGAATGAAGAGTATATCAACATCAGGGCTATTTTTAATTGATACTGAACTCGATCGTAAGTAGCGATTACGCGAAGAGTGGGGAGTGACATTGAGAGGCTAGGAACGAGTGGTTACTGTTAAGGCGTTACGAATACAGTGACTCGGGGTTTCTGGAATAACTCCTAACGAGCTAGACTCTGTCTACTCTTCAGTGATTAGACTTTCTTTCCAACTTTTCTTGAAATCTTTTCAGTGTTTGTTGTTTCAAACTATTAGGTAGAACATACATCAATACTTTTTACTATCACTTACCTATATATGAAATATATAGTAAGGGTAAGTAATGCGATCGCGAAAATTTTCGAATCTGAGCTTTCAACTGAAATACATGTTTTGAAGTCTCCTGAGTCCAAATAACCAAGCCCCGCAAAATGGTTTGAGTGTGTATATCTGTGTGTGTTAACAGTCTAGCTTAAAAACGAAACGTCGCAAGAAAATAAAATTGCATATTTAAGGTTTTTATATGCCTCAAATGCTATAGCAACTTTTTTCTTGAAATCGGCTAACCGAAAGTTCCACTTTATATCAACGGTGAAACACATTTTTGCAATTTTCTCAAAAACGGCTCTAACAATTTTTATTAAACTCGGTGTACCATTGTATAATTAAGTGGTCTTTAATATCGTTTAGGTCTTATCTCCATTGATGTCACTTTACAGAGCTTAAATGCCCAATGTTCATATACGTCTTCCTCTAAAGTACCTTTAATATGGTTTATTTAAAAAAATTAACCCTCTTGAATTGACAGTAACTATAAAAAATGGCTAAATATGCACTTTGAAAGAATATGATAGTTGGAAACTTAAGAAAAAAAGAAAAATGCTTATCCAGGTTGAAAATGAATCTCCGGAAATAACAGTCAGAAGGTATACATATAATACATCGTTGAAAGCAGAGAATTTTAGAAAAAACAATATCAAATAAATAAAGGTGTAGAAGGTAACGATAAAAATATCTATCTTATAATATAATAATAGGAGCGATGCATTTTTATAAATGATTTCGTAATTTTTTTTTCGAAAATCACAAAAAGTGTGGTAGCTTCAATATGCTTCCACCTATTCACACGAAATTTTGCAGGGATATAGGGCCTTATAAACTACACGAAATGACATAAACTGTACTCCCCTAAATGATTCAGAACTTAAGTTATAAAATAAAAACCTTTAGGAGTTTTTGTTTATCTACTCTTTATAGACGTTTTAAATCAAAAAGTTATTTGTACGATCTTGAAGAGCGTTAATTTAGCTTTCCAACGGTTGTAGAAACATTGAATTAGGATGAAATCCTGAGGAGTTATGAATGTTAACACAGAGAAAAACATCATAATGAATAGTGAAATCGTTGCCATGACGACTATCTCAGCACAGCTCTTCTATCTATGTTATAATATAATACGACATTATTTTGCTGTAACGATTTCTTTTCCGACTCTCAGGAGCCATGATTTTGATGAATAAGGAATCAAACGAAAGGGTACTAAATGGAGCAGTGACGAATAGTAGTCACTTCCACCCTAAATTTCAGGGGGAAAAAGTTATGAATTAAAAGAAAATTTATTTGCGAATTACTTAAAAAGTATACATAGTTTTCTTGATTAGACCCATTATTATTTGAAAATTTACTAAATGCTCTAAAAAACGAAGAAAAGAAATCATGACAATCGATTGGAAATTCGCAAAATTAAAAACAATTTGAACTGATCCTCTGGAAATCGAACCATTATTTATAAAGATACAGTCTATTGTATTTTATGTATTGTTGCTTCTAATATTGTTTTTAAAGAAATGTTATAAAATATTAATTAACATTTTTATACGGACCGTTTTGGAAACCTACTTTCCTAATCTTCGATTTTCGTATAGTATAGGATAACCGACATTTTTTAAGATTAAGTAACTGCATTTTAAATCTCTTAAATGTACAGATTTTCAGTTTCCCTTTGAGTCCAACCTTACACCTGTGATAGGAAAACTTGATGCCACTGTTGTCATGGATTCTGATTCTTATGAAATATTACAATTTCCAGCCCTCTGTAGTTACAAATCGAGTGCACCTGCAGTTGAAAATAATAAAAGAGATCAGCCTAGCCAAACTACAAATCGGACACTGGATACTGAAGGATAAAACATGATAACCTATTGAAAAACAGGGCATCCGTGGAGTTTCTTTCCTGGGTGGTAAATATCATGGTGATGCACCTCTTGACTGAGCGTTGTACCTATAAAGAACATTGGAATGAAGTGGAGTTGGAAAATAATAATGCTGACATTTTGAAAAACAACACGAAGATGGCAACAAATTGTTTTTATCTATTAAAAAAACACAACAATATAACAACTTATTTTTTTATGTTTCATAGAACACTAGTTTAATTCATAGAATTTAATATTTTAAGGAGGGGAAATAAATGAATGAAATTGTAAACATATATATATATATATATATATATATATATATATATATATATATATATATATATATATATATATACACATTTATTTTATATATATGAACTTTGCTATTTATATAATAACCATTTATCATGTAAATAATAACAGAAATGTTTGATCTGGTTTGTTAGCTAAAATACGCAAATGAATTACATAACAATAAACAATTGAAAAGATAAATTCATTTATTAATTAAGTTCAAGGGGTATTGAGGAAAAAAAACCTTTTAAACATTCTTAAATTTATTGAAAATTAAACCCGCTTACATAATCCTGACATGATATAAACAAAATGAGTTAATGCAATACTTTAAATGATACAAATATATTAGTAAATAAATAGATATATTATATTTTCTTAAATAGATGTTTTAAACATATGTAATGATATTATTACTTACTGTGTAATATTAATATCTCTGTGTGGTTTTCAGTATTTTGTAGCAATCTAAAGCATTTGGACAGAGGTACTCCATAAAAAAAAAATTTTCTTGTGTTTTTACAGTATTTGATGTTACAACAAATTCAGAATTTTGAGAAACATGTATTAAAAAATATACATTGTTAATATTAATATATATTAACTACCTGATATGACAAGTTTTATATTAAATAATTTTATATTAAATGATAAAAGTTAGAAAATTTAAATTAATGACAAATTTTTAACAAAAAAGCTTGAAACATGGAATGGTTATATAAATTTTGGCAGAATGAATGATAGTTGATGAATCAGAATTATTTAGTAATTTTTATTTAAAAAATGACCTATAATTTCCACCATATTTGTTACTTATTTGTATTTCTAGAGATAATTTGTAAATAACTCTTGATATTATACATCATTGAAATGGCAAACAGTCAATAAAAATTAATTAAAAATATATGAAAATCAGAAAGAATATTTGATCATATTAAATAAATATCTATAATTCTTATAATGATTGAATAATTATATGAACTGTTTAAATTGCCTGCTCCAATCAATTTTTTCTCCCCAAAACCACACAAAGAAAAGTATTTAATATAAAATTCATTATAGTTATTTTATTTATATTTTTCTTTTTCTAATTTGCCGATATTTCATTTATTCAAACATATTAACATCTTCCTCTCATATTTTAGAGTTAAATGAATATAAATTACATAATTCAATATCATAAATCCAAATGTCATCCATGATTTATATAACAACTTATCTCTTTAGTGAGGTACAAAGAGAAGAGGTGAGAAATATTTAATATATTATAGTATGCATAAATATTATATTTAATATAAAATCGAATGTTTCTTACTTATTGTACTAAGAAATACAAAAAATTATTTTCTTTCATTTAGAAGAAATTATTAGATCCCCTAATAAAATGACTAATTATCGAAGTTTTCTGTCCGCCTCTTTAGCTCAGCGGCAGAGCACTGGTCTTGTAAACCAGGGGTCGTGAGTTCAATCCTCACAGGAGGCAATGACTTTTTTTTTATATCCAGTTAAATTTTATGAAGTTTATAAGACTACTTTAAATTACTCCCGTTTGATCTGATAATAAATAATTTGATTGATGCTTGATGATAAATAATGAACAAGTAACAACCGTTGGATTGATGACAAATAATGAACTAGTAATAATGTTAATTTCATAAATATATATATTTTAAATATAATTTACTGTTGAGTTTATTTTGTTTTTAATATAAGCTGTTATATCAAATAACCATGAATCAATATAAATTAAAAAATATTTTTTATAAAAATAAGGAATCATAAAAGCTTCAGGTACTAAGTCATTATCTTCTTTTGGGATAGTTGTCCAAGTTTCAGACGGAATAGAAAATATCAGAAAAATAACAAGAGTAGTAAATAATAACTAACCGAACACTAATGGGTTCAAATATACAATAGATAAATTGATTAAAATACAAAAAATTAAGAAGACCGATTCCAGAAAAACAATTTTGTAGGATATTAAACTTACATAAATGGTGATTTATGGAAAATTGGAAGGAATATTTGTCACAATATTTCCTGAAACTACATTTGATCTTTTAATTAAGATAAGTTTTATTTTTTGTTTGTTTTGATATTAAATAATTAAATATTTAATAATCTATTAAATTAAGAAGAGATTTCAGAAATCCTCAAGACATACATTTTAATAAAACAAATTGTTTTGCAAAACATGCTCAATGATAGCTACCGGTAATAGAATGAATAATAATTTTTTTTTTTAGAAATATTACAATCTATCTGTAAGGACATTTATAATAGTGTTCAGAGATCACGTTCACACTCTATGTACAATAAATAAAAATAAATTAAACAGAAAAATAATATGTACATACAATAAATAAGAATAAAATATCTTAAAAAATAAATAAAAAAAGAACACATACATACCTATATAAACTATTTACAGTGAGGCAAGGGAACTCCCAGCCAGACTTGTCCCTCCAACTGTGAAGGGAAAAACAGGTGTCCAGGAGAAAATTATAATTTTCTTTGGCTAGACTATTAATACAATTTCAATATCAATTTATAGAAGCCGTATTCTTTACATATGGCTTCTATAAATTGATATTATTATAAAACAAACCCGTTATTATTCCCTTTTCTTTTCATTTAAATTATTTTTATTGTTTATCTGGTATACATTGTTATACTGCTCCCCTTAGAAAACACGTGGAACAGTTAGTGAATAAAAGTGCAGTAACAAATGTTTTTATTAATTATTAAATAGCACATTTAACACAATTTAATTCCATTAAAAATTAAGGAAAATATTGATTGTGCTAATGAAAACAAATATTTTAATAATTATGGATTGATGGTTGACTGCAGTGATGATTGAAGAGAAGAAAGTTTGGAGTGATCAGTCAAAAAAAAAAAAATAATAATAAAAAAAAAATAAAAATAAAAAAAAAATAAATAAATAAAAATAAATATAATTATTATTGGATAAAAATAAATATAATTATAATTGTGGGTTGATGGTAGACTATAGTGAAAAATGAAGATAAGGATGGTTGGGATGATCAGTTAAAATAAAAATGGCAAAAATAAATAATAATATTTATTTTAACATTTGCCTACGTTTCGACCCGAAGTTCAGGCCTTCATCAGGGCTGAGCAAAGAAGCAGGTAACAATAGATATGAGAAACCTAAACAATCTAGGTAAAAAAAACTTAAAGTAAAATGAAGTAGATAAGTGAACATTAAAGTAAAATAACGTAATAAATTAGTAATAGAGTAGCTTTAAATATTATTATAATTGGATCACTCCAACCATTCTTCTCTTCAAATATTTTAATTTATATTGAAGGTAGGTAAATACACTTCTAAGACTTTTTTTCTTTCTATAGTCAGATACGGCGCTTTTGTCAATGAGAGAAGTTTAGTCTGGAAGTCTATGCATGCATTGATGTTTTGCCAAAACTAGTAAAAATTAGCATTTTTCGAAGTCCATATCGAAAATATTCCAATACGTGTTTAAAAAGTTATTTAGTCTTTCGGCGTAAAATTTAATATCCTTATTGATTCTCTTGATTATAGTTATTATCTTCTTATCAAATTGAAAAAGTACATTGAGAATTTATTTCTAGATTTTTTTTTTTTACAACGCATGGAGTAATAATTAACTTTATTTTTAAAACAGAACCCTTCATGAAGGAGGTACATTTATTTACCGTACTTCATCGATATCTATAATTTTCGATAAATATATATATTCCAAATTGCAGGTTTTGAAAGGGCTCATTTAATAGAACTTACTATACGGTTGTTTAAGATTTCCCAAAAAGATATACAAATATAAAAAATAACGCAAATATCTTATATAATGAGTTCGTATGTCGTAATAGTAATCACTTTAAAATAAATATCTTTCAATTGTATTTAACTGAAAACAAGAACCATTAGCAACACGCTGAAAATACGTGCTTGAGAAGGTTTCTACGAACTATAAATTGTTTTATAAACGAACCAAGGATGAGAATTATTCGATCAGGAAAATAGTTGAAAATTTTGATTATAAAGCTGATGAGTTAATATCAATAACTTATCTTATTTAGTTTACAGAACTGAGTTAGCTCAGTATAATTCCTCGTCGGTTCCAATTAGGTAGTAACGTTTCACAACAGGTCACCAAATACATAATTGATGCACCGCTAAGGGTTTGCTTCATTTTTGAGTGAAAATAGTTCAAAGCATTAGTTTCCTTAAATCTAAAATAATTTTTATAATTAATTATAAATTAAGCGAATCATTATATAATTTATGCCTGAACGAGTAATGATTTAAACATTTCGATCTTAGATATTTTTATCCATTACAATTCTCATTAAAAATAACATTAAGGATAGAAAACTCTTGTACAGAATTGGCGATCTAACCATTCTCTTTGTTACCAGTAATGTTGCGAAATCCCTCGCACAGAGAACTTGTGACAATGCTGCAAATATAAGTAAACATCGCTCTTTATTATTCATTTTGTGTCCTACTACCATTCTTAAAATATATAATTATAATTATATATTTTGCCCTCCCCCTCTCTCCCTCCTTTCCCAATATTTCGAAGAAAAACTAATCAAAATTAATAAAAATTAATCTACATAACGAACAAACTAATATCAATTAATAAAGTATGAAAAAAATCGATTAGATGGTTGAGCAAAGGCTTAGAAGTTGGCCTGCAGGTGTTTTACCACGCCATATGTTCCTGTTACTGAAATTTTAATTTATGTTCAAAGATAATTAATTATATGGAGCAATATATTCTAGAATTTTATGATCATTAATGTGCACCATTTTTACGTGAAGATTTTATCACATTTCCCGTAGCAAATTAGAAGCATCCGAGAATTTATATCTCACTGTCTCAACCTTAAAAAAAGTAAATAAAATTCGTTTCTATCAATCTACTGTGCAACAGTGCTATCGGATAGTAGACGTTATCTCTGTTGTTTTTGAGAAAAGGGATTATTGTTCTCCGATCTTTCTGGACAAAGAAAAAGCATTTGATCGTGTCTGGCACAAGGACCTATTATGGAAACTAAAACCGCACTTACCTTCCACTTATTTTCTGATTCTTCAATCCTTCTTTCTTAACAGATTTTTCTGTATGCCCGTAGATTCTTCTGTTTCTTCCTTATTCCCCTAACGCATTGGCGCACCACAAGATATTATAACACATTTGTATCCTAAGTTCAATCCTTTATTCTCTATACACACCTGATATCTCTGAGCACCCTAATACCGTACCAATATCTATTGCTTCGCTGACGACACTGGTATTCTTTCTTCACACAAAAATCCTACTATAGCAGCAACTGCCTTTCAAAAACACCTCCGTGATCTTGAAAAATGCATAATTAAAATAAATAGTAACAAATCCACTTGATTTTCTCTCATAGGAAAGCCTTCATGCCTACCCAGCCTATTAACAAAAACCCAGTGCCTTCAAAGAACTATGTACGGTACATCGGATCCTACTTAGACAAAAGACTTATTTGTAACATATGTACGAAATTTAAAAAAAAAACAAGAACTTACTAGACGATATAGACAACTCTCACATCTTCTGGACTATAGATCCTCACTTAATTTACGAAGCATGTTACTGATCTACAACATCCTACTGAGACCAATAACGACATATGGAACAGAACTTTGGGGTTTGGCAAAACAAACACACATAAACAGCACAATTGAAAATTCTACAAAAAATTGTCAACGCACCTTGGTATATTTCAAATAACACTACATAACGACTTAAAACACCCATGACAAATACATTACTTTTCATTCTTCAACTCAAAAATCCAATCCTCTGGTTCTTTCTATTTCCTGCTCTCTCACCTGAAAGACGCAGATTAAAAAGATAATGGCCAAAAGACCTACTAAATCGATAATAAGAGAATCAAGCAAATACACCAATTTGTTAGATGTGCTGCCGCGCAAATGCAAATTGCATAAAATATTAAGATAAAATAAAAATATATAATATATTTAATTGCGTTGTTAGCATATTTTCAAATGTACCCGTAAACAAGAAAAACTGTCAATACGCAGAGACTTGGTTTGGCAACAACGCAAATAATTTGTGTACACTACTATAGGCATTAAAATAAATCGATTGGTCAGTTGAATAATAAAAGAAATTTCTTTACATTGTGGTCGGGTAACATAGTCCGGGTCCCTAAGAACCAGGGTAAAGGGATTAGAAAGCTAAATAATTTAAATGATTACAAGCCAGAAGAATAAATATATTGACAAACATATTATCTAACCACAAATTCCTGGTTGAGATAGCACAATGTATAATGTAAGTAGGCTATATAAATTAGCCATAGAGGAAGGGGGGCCACCAGGAACCCAGCTACCGGATTCACTTCCAAGAATAAGTAGACACAGAAGTCAGCGGTGGGTATCATCACTGCGGCAACAGTCAGGCTCTGGAAAGAACAAAACTTATCAAGACCCATGCATGAAATCCATTTCTAAGATGATAGTGTGGAAATTGTTACCCACGGAGGTAAGTGACTTCGTGCTGAAGAATATCGGTGTCCAGGCCCAAGTTAGCCCCAGAAGCACGCAGTACAACAACAGAGGCAAAAAAGACTTTTCTGCAAGAATAAATAAAACAATAGAGTTATAAAAATAGGTATGAATGTATATAAATATAAATATTAATAAAAAATATATATATAAAATACATAAGATTATGCAATATAAATCATCAAATTACCGCTAATTTCTGAAGTGTCGTTGTTTCACGCTAAATTAACGCAATCGATATCGTTAATTAAAAGATAAATAAAATGTTTAAATTAGCAGCTGGGCAAGAATGGAGAACGGCTGTAATGCAATGGCTGTAATCTATGAAAATTGTTCTTAAATTTCCAATAAAATCAACTCAGTAAATATGAATTATAAAATGTGATTGAGGAGACAGGTCTGTCTGATTACATATATCTACAATGAGTGACTGTAGAAATCATAGGCTTAGCGGTTCCTTTGATCTGCGACGGCTGCATATGGCGCATTGCACATTGCACCCAATGTGACTGAAGTAGTGAAATAGAAAGTAACACAGTATGCACTAGCCTTTGGGCAAGAAGCAACGGCTATGCAAATCCTAGAAAACATGGTGATTTTCTAGTCATATTTTTTAATTGTAAAAATAAAATTATTAGCTAATGGTCGCTAATAAAGTTTTATTATTCCTCACGTTTCGGAATTATAGAGCCATTCTGAAGTCTGATTGGTGAGTCAACTACGCCTAACATTCATGATTATTTTTGGGTTACTTCAGAAAATTAATTACGAACTTCAGATTTAATTTCCTCAAAAATCCGACCCGACAATGCTTCTAGATAGATATATCTACAGAGGGAGAGGGAGAAAAAAGAAGAGCGTTGAAGGAGAGATGGAGTGATTTTCTTATATCACACTGTTGATACATTTCCAATAAATCCATAATTATCTCGAATACACACATGGCGAGGGGCAGGGTGGCCGAGGGAGAACGCGTTGCCTGGCAAATTGATAACCTGAAGATTACGAGTTCGAGTTCTGTTGCCAGGAGTATTTAACTCTGGTATTAATGCCCATCATACCAATACCCAAGGAAATGCCATCCATATATCTTAATTACTTTCATATAAATATTTTTTTTTTTAAATATTGGCCAGTTATGTATATTACGCAACATTTTTTACTTTACATTACATTGTTTGTAGAAAGCAATATAAAATGTATTAATGTTAGGTAAATAAACTGAAACAGGTAAATAAACTGAAATTATAAATAAAAATTTTATTTTTACCTGAACTCTTCCACACGATGAATGATGCTGAACCCATAGAAATCAAAAGGAAGGTCCAAACATTTTGGAAGATGTAGTTAGGAGCGATCCACATTGGCTTTTGTAGTCTCTAGAAGACAAGAAAAAAAGTAATATAAAGTTTTTCTTTTCATTACAAATTTAGCGTTGGTAACATCAACAGTACTAGAATAAGTCAAAATAAGGGTGAAAAAAGTTTTCAGCGATAAAATTTCTCAAATCTATGGCA